TTCTGTCAAGCAATTTTTCCTAATTTGGATGTTATTAAAATGTGAACTAAAAGAAGCTAAAGGATGGTGGAAGAACTGTGTAAAACCATTTAAATTATTTTATCAAGCCCTGTTAATCTTCTCTTATAATGTTTTATAACTGTCAATTAGAAAATCAGGTATTTTCATCTTTATCTGTAATTTAAAAACAGCTAAAAGTTAAAACAATTTGACTATCACTTATGAAAACTACCAGATTGTTAATTAAGTTATTTAAACTCACTGTTTTAATGTTAAAACCTAAAATTTTTAATTACTTAAGAGTGAAAAGGAGGGGCATAAGGCAATTCCCTTTACTTTGTAAACTTGTCAAGGTCCCTAGAAGCCATCTGTGTGGGCAAGGTCATCTGCCCTGAGAAAATAACTTGTTTGTGTTATAGAGTTCCTAAACAATTCATTTTGCTTACTGAGAAGTTGCAACTTAATGTACAATAGATAGAAATGATTTCTAATACTTGGCTTTTACACCAGAACAAGTTTAAATTTGAGGAAAAGGGATGTTAAGTGAAATCTCTTATATATGTGAGTCCTACTATATCTTTACTACTTATTACAATTCCATTGGAATAAAATTAACTGTATCTGGCTTTAAGCTATGATTAGTGAATGCTGCTTGAGGTAAAAAAACTCTTAGGACTATAACTAATTTTGTTTTGAGTTTCAATTTGAGTATAGTTGTCTCTATTAAATCAGTATCTGAAGTTTCCCCATCATGTTCCTTTAAGAAAGAATGTTTCCCACCATATGCCAAAATTTTGCTCGTAACACTATTAAACCTGTTAGGCAGAGATATCCTCAGACAAAAATTATTCATTATATGGATGATATACTTTGCATTTGTTCTACTACTTGCAAACTCTCCTTATTAATGCCTGAGCTTTAACAAGCCCTTCAGTCTCATAGCATTATAATTGCCCCTGAAAAGGTACAAATCACCTTTGCTTATTTTAGACATATTGTTTCACAGTCTGCAATTAGACCCCCAAAATATTACAAATTAGGCAAGATTCCTTAAAAAGTCTTAATCATTTCAAAAAATTTCTTGAAGATATTAATTAGCTTTAGCCTGCCCAGTAGATCACCACTAATCAATTATTTAATCTCTTTACCACCCTCAGACACCTCACCAAGAATATTTCCCCTTAATTTGTGGGGGTGCGATATTTTACATCAAAGGGGAACTGTTATTTTCTCCCACCCCCACCCCCGCCCTGTGCTTCTCCTATCCATAAAGCTGATAAAATACAATGGAAATCTGATAAACCTGTTTAGGTGGAACAGTGGCTTTTGAGAAAACAGAAGCTTTTTGCATTAAAACAATTAGTTGAACACCAACTTTTAGAAGGCTGCCACTTAACTTTTTATTAAGCTTTTATTGAGCTTTTTATTAACTATCTGCCAGTATAACCACCTTAATTGTAGAGAGGATAACATTTCATGACTATTTTTCTATAAATAAACTTCTGCAGTTTTAGAAACATAGTATAAAAAGAAAATAATTTTTTTGGAAAAGGCTGTTTCAAATGTATCACTTTTATTAACCCTCCTTCTTTTGCCATTAATCCCAGAAGTTTTTTCTCCCAAACTCATTTGACAAATGAATGTAACTTATATGCCTTCTTTTGTAAAACTTTCTTATATTCGTGTTATAATCGATACTTTTCTTCTTTCATTTTTGCTACTTTACAAGTAAGTGGAACAATTAAACATGTGATCAATCATATTTTACAAGCCTTCGCATTTAAGGGTGTACTTAAACAAATTAAAATAGATAATGCTCCTGCTTACATTAGCAAAACATTTTCTTCTTTTTATGCTTTTTATAACATTTCTCTGATCACAGGCATTCTACATAATTACAAACAAAGATATTAAAAAAATTCTTCTTAAAAAAAGGGGGAGTATCTGGGCTATTACCCTTCATCGACAATTGGCTATTGCTTTTTTAATAATATTAACAAAGATGGGTACACTCCAGCCAAGAAACATCTTGAGAAAAATAAACATCCAGAGGCACTGATCCATTACTAACAAGAGGACCAGAGTATGCTTGTATTTTTTCAGAAACCTTTGATAAACCTGTCTGGATACTGGATAAAAATGCCCAAGCGTGTACCACAACTCACAGCTCAAATGCAAAGTATGAGGATTTGGGGAAAGCACAGAAGGAGCCAATCTACAGTGACGAGTTGCCTTCCCACATGGAGTCAAGTGAAAGTTCCCTCTCACTGAGCCATGGAAGACTCCTGAACTTGTATTTTTAGCAATAGTAGCTTTACTTTCTGTTCAAGTGTATAATGTACAGAGTGCTCAGCACTAGACTTATTTTCCTTTTCCACCCTGGTTGTTACCCCTCACACATGTGGACAAATTGTGAAATATATATGCTAAGAACACCTGTATATTCGGAAGACAAGAATATCCCTTTCTCCACAACACAGCCAATGTGACAAGTACACTCGGATCTCTAGGATCCAGGACACCTATACGTTTTTCAAAATTTAGCAACAATATTGAACCCTGTCTTTTTCTTGTTACATCATTGTTTTATACCAGTTTGTCTAATGGATATGTAAATTTTACTCAATCTAATACTACTTTTGAATAGAATGTTACTTGTGTCAATTGTACTCTCAAACAGCGTATTGATAATAATGACTATATTGTACTTTCGTAGAACATCATCATTTGCTATTTTCCCTACTAACATCTCACATAAATAGTTCCAGAACTCTGGTGAACATGCTCCTCAAATTATTGCTTCCTCCTTAAGTCAATCAAATAATTTATTGGTCTCCTTATTACTGGTTTAATCATTGTTGCTTCTTTTATTGTATCTACTACTGTTTCATCTATTGTGCTAGAATCTGAAATTCAAACTGCACCCTTTGTAAATGACTTAGCAACAAAAATATATAAGCTTAGCACTTAAAACACTAGAAGCTATTGATAGAGATATATCACATAAAGTCGTTTTATTAGAGCAATCAATATTGTATTTAGGAGATGAGTTAGAAACCTTGAAAACAATGTTTATATTGAAATATGATTATTGCTATTCTTTTATTTGTGTGACTCCCTATGTGTGTTCAAATTTCACTAATGTGGCTATTTAAGAAATATTGAATAAGCTTCAGGGTGCGTGGCCCTCTGAAAATATTATGTGGGATATTAGCCAATTATCCAACATACAACATGAGATAGCTGATTCTCATTTTGATGGTACTGACCCTTGAGATATTGCAAACAAACTGTTAAATTGGATACATCAACTTAATCCTCTTAATAATGTATTGAGCTTCCTGTTGCATTTTCTACCTTGGTTATGTTTTGTATTAGTTTTATGTTTCCTTCTTCCCTTTTTTTTAAGATACCTTTGCCACATCTTAGGTGAGCTTCAGGCATCCCTTCATTATCTCAAGTTAGCACAGAAAAAAGGGGGAGATATTGAGGGCCACCTCTGAAGAGTCAAAGGATTCAGGCCAGCCCAGGTTTTCCTGTAGTTTGTCCTCTGTCCAATGGCTGTGTAAACTCAGGATGTTGGTTCACCACCCCGCTGTACTGTCTCTTGAGAACAGGATAACCTTGGAGATTACAAGGAAATTAGGAAACCCCGTGTTCTGACTCTTGAGAACAGGATAACCTTGGAGATTACATTGAAGTGAGAAGGAGTACACTTGTTGTTACTTAGGATGATGTTCCCATGAGAAATATACTCATTGTTACAAACATGCTTGTTGTCGCCCTAGTTAAAAGATATATAAACCCTTTGCCTCAGATTAATAAACGGAGTTTGTTCTTTACATCTCCGACCTGGCCCACATGATTTTTTTCTCTGCTCACACTCAGTCGGGTTAGATGAGACCATGGCCAAGAATGCAGGCACTCATGGCACACAGTAGGTCAGGACTGAGCTAGATGAGATCAATCTGTATAGTGAGGAACCTTAATAATCCAGTGGAATGCAATATTTGTTCCCTTGCTTGAACTCTATGTAATTCGGGGGGCATTAGGAGTCCTTACTACACCCTGACTCAGAATGTTCTGAGTAGGTTTAGAATAATCTTAGCTACCTTTGTCAGCAAATGAGTAGTCCTCTAAGATTGATTACCTAAGGACTCTTGAGGCAATGCTGCCATCTGTTAAATTTGGCCATTAATATTCTGTGTCAATCTTTGCCTATCTGTGTCTCCCTGCATTTTCAGCAACCCTACTGTGGCCATTAGAAAAAAACTGGATACTTGTGTCTGGTGGCAGCCACCCTGATATACTGGTGAGTATGACACTGTGATCCAGGACTCAAATGCAAAGGCCACCAGTTGAACCACATGACCTGTCCAGAGGCAATATTTTATCAGATATTTGTGTTGTGTCTTCCCATGTCCTAATGCCCTTTTAGTTGACTAAGTGACCTTGATAAATAGCTCGCTTTATATCAGCACTACACCTATTCACTAAGGATAACCCCAGGTTAATGATGGCAGGATCATTGTGTGTAAATTAGATAAACTGCTGACCAGGGTTGGGCGTTTATGGGCCAAACATCAGTACCCCTAGAGTAGAAAACCTCTTTTTTCCCACCTATGAGGTTCTCAGGAAAATGTGTTGTGTCATGTCTGGTGTATTTGTAGATTCTTCTACATTGGAAGATTTCTAAGGGGAAAACACAGCTGAGCAATAAAGTCTGCTGAAACAAATATGCAGAAAAGTAGTTTAGAATGGTCAGTGGGGAAGATTAATGAAGTTTCATACTTGAAACAGCTCTCCCAGCTTTCTATAATCTGATGCTAAACTCTCCTTCTCAATAACCAGAGATTTACTCCATTTCAGAGTTCCAGAGCAAGATAAGGTTTTAGGAATTTAAAAAGAAAAAGACAAAAAAACTTCAAGATACTTTCTGTCATTTCAGTAGTCAGATTGGGATTACAGAGATAAAGTTAGACAAATAAAGAAATGAAATATTTTTCTTGGTTTGTAAAAATTTATGGCATTATAAACTAATTGGACAACAAATTTGCAACTGAAATAAAATATCTTTACTGTAAATTTCAAAATTATAGTTTAAAGATTTTTGCAAATGCTGAGATATTTTTAAAAAGGAGATAAGAATGTGAAACTTCCGCTATAAATCTTTGGAATAGAGCTAATTTAAAATAGTGCTCTCCATAATTTGAGGTGCTGGCAGCTAATGGTCTTTGGGAAATTGAGATTTTGAATGAGATCATTTGTGATTGTAAATCCAAACTAAAGTATAATGTGACTCATTTAAAGGGAGATAATCATAATGTTTTACCCTCTATAGGTAGATCATATCCTAATGAAAGAACCATTTGATATTTGTCTTAAGGTTGTATACCTAGAAACTGCATAAATAAGAATTAAAAGTGTGATTGCACTACCCTGCTCTTTGGTGTAAAATACCAAATTGATAAGGCATGAAGTGATGTTTTATGTAAGATGATTCATAAATGCATTGAACCAAATTGATATTTGACTGGCAATAAGTTTAAACATCCATAATACTAGTTATGTTATTGTTAGACTTGCAAGTTGATTTTATAAAGAATACTTTGTATTTGATAGATTTAATATAATGATTCTTATTTGATGTACTGTTTGGCCATTAAATTATTAAAATCTTTAGAGTGCACCTGGAATAATGTGTATTGCAGTTACATCTTCTTTACTACAGACAAATCCCCAATTCAAAGATCGACTTTTGCCTTAGGAGTTACCTCAGATATGGATATTTCTCATCCTCAAGGCTTGCAGGGGCTAGTGTTCTTCTGGGTTTTGAGAGAACTATCATCTATTCATTATTTGTGTGTAATCATAGCATGTGATTGTTTTCTTAATATGTATATGTATGTATGTATGAATATGATTGGCTTTCTTCCATACCCCATAGTACTGGCAAATCTCATTCCAGAAGAGTTACAGAAATTACTGCATTCATGCTGTATACAAAAGTAGCTGTAATGAAATTGTAGAGAACTGAAGGGGACTGCCATTCCTAGGACAGCACATCTACACTACTATATGGATGGTGCAGTGAAGAAGTTTTCCATGAGAGTTGAGGAAATTAAGGAATTGAGTAGTTAGGATGCTGGAGGAGATATCAATATTGATATGTTGAAGTACTTCAAATAATGGTAAGATCTGAGGAAAGAGTAAGACTGTGAGCCAGATGCTAACTCTGATACAACCTCTCTGAGGGAAGGTTACCTTTTTGGAAAAAAGTGGATAATACTTTCACTACTGTATGGTAAACTTTGAAATGCTACATAAACGTGTACCATCATATCTGTCTTTGAGGGCAGGAAAGGCAGAGCTTATAATAGAACAACTGCCTTTAACCTATGCTTTGGTGTAGGTTTAGCCATGGTGCATGGCTTAACCATAATACTGGATTTAATTTCCATATAACCAACAGAATGCAAGCTACTCCTTTGAGAGAACTGTAGTGTCTCAGGGCCACAAATCTTCTGAATCAAAACTTCATTAATATTCATCATTAAAAGGATAGTTGGGAATGTCTTGGAATCTAAAAGGAGAGAAACATACATATACAGGTCTTATTCATTAAAGAAATCTCTCTAACACACCAACTCCAACAACTTCCCTTCTCCCAAACCCACCTCCTCAAATACACCCTTTCCCAAATTAAGAAATACAGTCTTTGTAGTGGTTTGTTTTCTTTGGCCCATGCATCTAACTACTGAATGAGGACTTAGGTATAGATCCCTCTTGCCTTGGATTCAGCAGGTTTTGTTCAGTTTCCTTAAACAGAAAGCATTTCTGAGACACAAGGAAAATAAATGGCTAGTATAATAGACCTAGAGTAGGATATGGCAAACGGCTGCAGTATCTTTGCCAAGAAAATCCCAAATGGGGTCACAAAGGGTCAAACATGACTGAATCACTAAATAGTAAACAAAAGATCCTGGCTCTGGAATCAGAAAACTTGGATACAACTTCTGGCTCTCAATTATTAGCTGTATGACTATAAGCAAATTACCAGAACGTCTCAGAAGCTCCATTTCCTCATTTTTTAAATGGAAAATAATATTTTTGGACAACATGCTTTACAGGGTTATTGCAACGTTCACTTGAGACTACGGGTGCAAAGGACTGCAACCATAAATCGCTATGTAAATGTCAGGTACTATCATTAAGAAGGGCCATATAATAAGGGGTATTGGGAAGGGTCTCATTTCGGAAACTGAAGCCAACAGAGGGGAAGTCACCTCCCTTGAGTCAAACTGGTAGTAAGTGGCAGAGAGAGGAATCAAAGCTAAAACTTAAGACTTAAAATTCAGCGCTCTTCCCATGATAATTGTCACATTGCCTCCCTACACCATGGCATACCTTTATCCATATCAATTCACAAAACAAGCTTTGCTCCCACAGCATAGAGGGAATTTTAGAGCAGGAACCAGTATCGTGGTGGACTTTGGCCAGGCTGTACTATGAACTCCATTAAATTCTGATTATTTGTATAGAATCAGATGGAGGAGACATTCCAAGGGCAATCAGTAGCATAGTAAATATTCCACTATGCAGCAAGTCAGTCAGTCAATAAGCATTTACTATGACTACCATATGTGAGACGCTGTGCTAAGCGATGAGGATGCAAAGAAAAGCAAAGGACAATCTCTGCCCTTGAAGAGTACACAACCTAATGGGGCAGACCACAAGCAAACATGTAAAACAAACTATATACAAGAAAGAATCAAAAGAGTGAAGGCACTGTAAATTTTTTGTACATTTTCCATTTTTTATGATCTCTTTGGGATACAGTTTTAGTAGTGGTATTGCTGGATCAAAGGGTATGCACAGTTTTATAGCCCTTTGGGCATAATTCCAAATTGTTTCCCAGAATGTTTGGATCAGTTCACAACTCCACCAGCAATGCATTAGTGTTATAATTTTCCCACACTTTCTTCATCATTTATCATTTTCCTTTTTGTCATATTAGTCAATCTGATAGGTGTAAGGTGGTACCTCAGAGTTGTTTTAATTTACATTCTCTAAGCAATAGTGATTTAGAGTATTGCTTTTTAAACTGTGGGTCATGACCCACAGTTTAAGAAGCATTGAAAGGGTTGAGAGTGAAAAAAAAAGTTTAAGAAGAATATGGATAGCTTTAATTTCTTCATCTGAAAACTGCCTGTTTATATCTTTTGACCATTTTTCAGTTAGGGAATGACTTGTATTCTTACAAATTTAAATCATTTCTCTATATATTTGAGAAGCGAAGCCTTTAAAGGATCTAAGACATTTCCAAAGGTCTCATGATGGAAAATGCTGTCTACATCCAGAGTAAGAACTATGGAGTTTGAATGCAGATTCATGTATACTATTTGTCTTTTTTTCTCTTCTGTTTTGTCCTGTTTCTTCCTTCTTGTGGTTCCTCCTATTGGTTCTAATTCTTCTTTACAACATAACTAATGTGAAAGTATCCTTAACAGGAATGTATATGTAGAGCCTATATTAGATTTCACGCAGTCTTGGGAAGGGGGGTGGGGAGGGAAGGGGAGAAAATTTAAAACTCAAAAGCTTATGGAAGTGAATGTTGAAAACTAAAAATAAATTAAGAAAAAAAGAAAAAAAAAGAAATGTAATAATGATGATTAAAAGGGGCAGCTGGATGCTGCCCAAAGACAATGATGCAGATGAAGGTGACAACAATGATGAAGACAATAATAAAAGAGATAAAACATGGGGGAAAAAAGGAAAAAAAAGAAGTGAGCCCTTTATTAGAGAAGCTGGCTGCAAAAATGGTTTCCCAGCTTTCTGCTTACTTTCTAATCTTAGCACTGCCTTTGTGTAAAAACTTTATAATGCAATCAAAATTATCCATTTGGTACTTCATAATGCTCTCTACCTCTTGTTTGGTCGTAAGTTCTCTTCTCCATAGGTCTGACAGGTAAACTATTCCTTGCTTTCTTAAATTGCTTATGGTATCATTCTTTATGTCTAAATCATGTGCTTATGTTGACCTTATCTTGGCATACACCATGTAAGATGTTGCTCTATGTCTAGTTTCTGACTTACTATTTTCCAGTTTTCCCAACACTTTTAGTCGAATACTGAGTTCTTGTCCCACAAGCTGGAATATTTAGGTTTATCAAATAGTACACTACTATAGTCATTGACTACCTATTTTATTCCACTGATCTATCACTGTGTTTCTTAGCCAGTATCAAACAGTTTTGGTGGTTGCTGCTTTATGAAACAATTTTATAACCGGTACAGTTAATCTATCTTCCCTTACATTTATTTTCATTAATTCCCTTTATATTCTTGACTTTTTTTCTTCTAGACAAATTTTTTTATTATTTTTTCTAGCTCAATAAAATAATTTTTGGTAGTTTGATTGGTATGTCACTGAATAAGCAAATTAATGTAGGTAGAATTGTCATTTTTATTACATTATCTCGGCACACACATGAGCAACTGATATTTTTTCAGTTATGTAGATAAGACTTTATTTGTGTGAAAAGGGTTTTGTAATTGTATTCATATAGTTTCTGAGTTTGTCTTGGCAAGTAGACTCCCAAATATTCATATTTTCTACAGTTATTTTAAATGAAATTTCTCTTTCTGGATCTTCTGCTGGACTTTCTTAATAATATCAGATTGCATGCTGTCTTGGGGAAAGAGGGGGGAAGGGAGCAAGTAAAATATTTGGAACTCAAAATCTTATGAAAGTGAATATTGGAAACTATCTTTACATGTAAATGGGAAAAACAAAATACTATTATGTGTGTGGTGGGGAATGAAAAAAAGAGGGAACACACCAGAATTAAGAGGGGTTGGGAAAGGCTTCCTGTAAAAGGTAGAAGTCTAGTTGGGAGTTGAAGAAAGCCAGTGAAGCCAGGAGACAGAGGTGAGGGAAGAGTATTCCAAGAATAGGGGGAGCCAGAAAAACACCCAGACCTAAGATGTCAGCTTTTTTTAATAAAAACAAGAGCCAGTGTCACTGGATGTTTGATACATGGCAGAGCAAGTGTGAGAAGATTGGAAAGGAGGGAGAAAGAACTCTAATGCCAACAGAGAATTTTATATATGCTCCTGGAGAAGACAAGCAGCCATGAGGGTTTCTGAGCTGACAGGTGTTTGACTTAATGGTGGCTTAATGGAGAATGGACTGGAATGAGGAGAGACTTAAGGCAGGCAGACTTACCAGAAGGCTATTACAATGGTTCAGCTATAAGGTGAAGAGGAGTTGCACCACAGTGGTGGCAGTATCAGAAGAGAGAAAGCAGCATATTCAAAAGATGTTGCAAAGGTGAAATCAACAGGTCTTGGCAATAGATTGAACATGAGAACAGGTGGGGGTGAGAGAGAGTGATGAGTCCATGATGACACCTAGGTTGCAAGCCTTGGGGCTAGAATGGTAATAGGGGAAGTTTGGGGGTGAGGAGTATGTGAAGGAAACGTAATGAGCTCAATTTTAGATGTGAAAAATAAGGCTGCAAAGTTAGAAAACCAAAGATATGGACCATGCTTATTTAAATGATCACGTTTATATGATTTCCCAATAACCCTAGGCTAATGTGGAGCCAGTCACCTAATGAGAAGAAAAGCAGTCAAGGGAAGAGGTGTGGGGCTTCTCTGAACCTCACTTCCTGAGGAATGATAGAGGAGTACAACAATCCTCATAGGAAATGGGTTTGGAGGAAGCTACACCCAGTTATCTTCATCTATCCATGCATGCCTGTGACTATACTCTTCCATGGTAACATTAAAGAATGTTGCTCTAGTGCTCGTCTTCATAGAATTGAGGTTCCAGGGCAGCCTTCAGACCTAATTTGGAGACCTTAGAGATCCTCTAATCCAAACACTTCTTTTTACAAATTTTCTAAGAAACTGAGATTCAGAGAGGAAAATGGACTTGTTCATTGTCTCATAGCTAGTTTGCATCAGAAACATAACTAGAACCTGTTTCTGATACAAGGTATCAGAGATAACTTTTGTATAGGAGAAGTTTAATTACCGAAAGTGAAAAAAAAATCCATTGTGCATGAAAAAATGATAAAAATCCATGTACGATAAAATACGAGTTTTCTATTAAACTATAAAGACAGAGAGAGGAGGACTACACAGACAACTGAACAGCCATGTTTGAAGACAGAGAAATGACTGTAGTTGCAAATAACTTATTGCAATTTTACCTTTGACCATCAATTGCTGAAAACTTTTTTCAGACCTGACCTAGCATAAGATAGGTTCAGAATGTTGCTTCAGATAAGAGGAAGAGGAGATGTGATGACCACTGCAAAGTATTATAGTTTGTAGATTTATAACTTCTCCATGAAGGACTTGAAAAAGGACTTCTTCTTTAAAGTGCTACCCTTCATCCCTACAGTAACATATCTCTACGAAAAACTTAGATATTAAAAGCAAAACTCACTGCTTAAAGATCAGGTAACGAAGGTTTTTGTTAAGGCCATCAATGGCTTTCATGTCTTCTGGAGTCAACTGGAAGTCAAACACCTGCCAGGGAAGAAAGGATATTATAATAAGTAAGATCTGCTTATAGCACCTCTGAATGGAATAGGCAACTTAATTCATTGAATCAGTCACATTCTCCACTGAGACTCTTATAACTCTCTTCTGGTGTTGGAGGTGATTAGGCTAACTGAAAACTAGCTACTGCCACTTGATAGTTCCCATCTTCTTGTGGGTGGAGTCATCCTTTTCTAACTCCTCCTTTCAGAGTTGTAGACTTCCCCTTAATCTAGAACTTTGCATTTACCTGATCATGAACCCCTTGGGGATTCAGGATATTGATACAACAGGTTCATGTATACAAATTTTTGATTCTGCTTTATGTAGCAAATAATTGCCCCAAATTTGTTGCAAACATATTTTCCCCTGTGACAACAACCATATGTATATTTGAAGCAATATAGTTTTGTTTCTGAAAATATTCAAAACCATCCTACACACAATGATTTCTGTGTCTGTATGGCTGACACCAAACTGACCACTTCTGACTTAGCGCAACATGTTCTTGAAGTTTCTCAACCTGTCATCAAATTGTTTCCAAACAGCTATGGTCACAGGAGTCCAATATTTGAGTGCAAACAGATTTCCAATAGGTGATCAGATGTATAAGCATACTCTTATTTGCTCTCTATATACCACACCAGAGAGCTCCTTCATTCCCCTTTGTCACCATATAATTCTATCTCATCAGTGGCATAATCATATGATCAAGATGCTATGGATATTTGCATTCTTGCAGTGCAAATAAATCTCAGGGTGTTTGAAATCCACGAGCACTTATAAGCCATCGTGAAATTATCATTTCATTATCACAAGCATTCAGAAGAAATAAACCTTATATTGCCTCTCATTGTAATATTAAGGCTGTTTTCTGATATAACTATATCTTCCACTTATGATACTATTCTTCAGTTAAATGAACTGGTTGTCAACACTCATCAGTGTTTCAGCAGAGTGTCTTTGAGGGTATAGCCAGTATGCCAGTGATATAGAAGAATGAAGTTATATCTGAAGAGATTATCTCCTTACAAAGATTAGTGTAGATATAAAAATTGTTAAAAAAAATTAAGCAATATATGTAATTACACCTTAAGTATATTTATCATTTAATACAATGCTACTTAGACAGTAGAAAAGTAAGTCTTTTATATCTTAACTAGCTATGTATTTTCATTAATTGGTTAGGTAGCTAAAAATTTTAAATGAACTTCCTTCTTTAAAGAAAGATAGCTTATAAAATTCTCCTACTATTTTCCACCACATTATTTATGGGAGCAAGCATTTTCACTTTAAACTTATTTTAAATTAAAATATGGAGATAAACTTGATGTAGAAACAGTTTTAAGACTGTGTTTATCTATTGTTAGATCAAATACTATAAAGTTCTGTTCAAATAAAAAGTCGTATGTCAAAATTAAGTTTACATATGATTACTATATTAGGTTAAACATATCCAAATTGTAACTTATTTCATTATGTTAGTCATATTCAACAAAGTTGGTCAAATAAATTTAATATGAAGTCTTGCCGATAATTGTAAGAATATGAGGTCTTACTTGAATACTTTTTTTAATTCTTGGTCAATTTCTCACATAAAATATTCATAATTAAAATTAGAGTTTTATTTTGTATTTAGAGTTTTCATAATGATGGGTAGAATTATAATTACATAATGTAAATTTCAATTTAGAGCTTTTTGTGTAAAATTTATCATGCATTTTAAGCACTTCATAAATAAATCTAAAACAATTATGAACAGTTATTAAATTACACTGGTGGTACACACACTGTATGTTGTTGTTGGAAAGGGTTTGGGGGACAAAAAAGTTGGGAACCACTGCCTTAGTCAACATTTCCACAATGTGAGAAGTAAATGTGCCTGAAGTATTCTTATACTTATTCATTCTCTTTTCCCTAATGCTATTGCTTTCACTCCTTCTTTGCTCTGGTTTTGAAGGTGTTAGGAGGGTGGAACATGACATCTTAATTATATGGTTGTCACCCAACTTGAGAAATTTGTAAAATATTTTTAAATCATTCAGATTCCCTCTCATATAGCCACCATGCCCCTAACTGGATCCCTCTATTAAAATTCAGGCTGAAAGGCTCTGTGCCCTCCCAGTTTTCCTCTTCTTCATCAAGTACTAATTCAAAGCCCTGTTCCTCTTCTTTGCACTCCCCAGAGATGAATAATTTAGCAAAGAACCAACATTTAGGATCTATCACTTTAAGTTAGCTTTAGTAATAATTAAAATAGAAGATTGCAGATTAAGGTAGAATATGCAGTTCACCTCCCAATAACTATAAAATAATGTCTCAAAATGAATTCTAGAGCATTAGAACCAATGAAAAGACAGAGTGAAAAAATTTTCCAGCCAAATACAACTTGGAAAGTTGGTAGGAAAAGTCTGTCTCACAGGTAAAAGGGGAACACAGTACAATGCAGGAAGCATCCAGTCAAACCAGCATCAAAGTCCTGAGTCTAGGCTCAGGTCAGTGACTCTGGCACAGTAGGCCAGAAGCCAGGCCCCACAGCCCCTGAGCAGCAGGCAGCTGAGAGACCTCTCACCCCAAGAACAACAGACCAGTGGTGAGGTCCCTCTATCCCAGTACAAGAAGCTTTGGATAGTGTCCCCTCCACCCAAGAACAGGGTCTAACTTTAAGTCACATAATAGACTGGGAAATGAGCAAAGAACAAAAACAAAAAAAAAAACTGACCATAGAAAGTTACTATGGTGACAGGGACAATTAAAACACAAACTCAGAAGAAGGCAACAATGTCAAAACACCTATATGCCAAGCCTCAAAGAAAAAATGTGAAATTAGTTTCAGGACCCCCCAAAAAAACTACTAGCATGCTCAAAAAGAACTCCTGGAAGAGCTTTAAAAGGATTTTAAAAGTTAAATAAGAGAAGTAGAAAAAATTTGAAAACAAAATGAGAGAGATGCAAAAGAATCATGAAAAAAGAGTCAACAGCTTGGGAAAGGAAGCACAGAAAACAGAAAAAGGTGAACAAAAATTCGCTGAAGAAAACAACTTCTTAAAAAGAATTGGCCAAATGGAAAAGGAGGTACAAAAGCTCACTGAAGAAAATAATTCCTTAAAAATTAGAATTGGGCAAGTGGAAGCTAAAGACTCCATGAAACATCAAGAATCAATCAAACAAAATGTTTTAAAATGAAAAATAGAAGAAAATGTTAAAAGTCTCATTGGAAAAAGAACTGACCTGGAAAATAGATTCAAGGGAGACAATTGAAAACATTTGAAACTATAATAAAAAAAAAAGCCTGGACATATTTCAAGAAATTATCAAGGAAAATTGCCTTGATATCCTAGAACCAGAAGGTAAAACAGAAATTGAAAGAATCCACCAAATACCTCCTGAAAGAGATCCCCAAATGAAAAAACTCCCAGGAATACTATAGCCAAACTCTAGAACTCTCAGGTCAAGGAAATAATACTTCAAGCAGCCAGAAAGAAACAATTGGAATATTGTGGAGCCATAGTCAGGATTATACAGGATTTAGCAGCTTCTACATTAAAGGACTAAAGGGCTTGGAATATTATATTCCAGAAGGCAAAAGAGCTAGGATCACAATCAAGAATCACTTGCCTATAAAAACTGAATATATAACCCTCAAGTGGGAAAAGTTTATTTGATGAAGTAGAGGGCTTTAAAGAATTCCTGAGAAAAAGACAACAGCTGAACAGAAAATGTGATTTTCAAATACAAGACTGAAGAGAAGCATAAAAGGAAAATAGGAAGTAGGAAAAGACATAAGGGATACAATAAAGTTAAACTGTTTACAAGGAAAGATGTACTTCTAATTTTTAAGAAGTGTGTCAGTGTTAGTCCAGTTAGAAGGAGTATACATAGAGGGAGGTTCAGGTATAAATGGATTTTGATGTGATGACATAACAAAGAAATAAGGGATGGAAAAGAGGATTGCACTGGGAGCAGAAGGAAGAAAGGTACAATGGGGTAAATTATCTCACATGAAAGAGGCTTTAAGAGAGAATAACATATACGCTCTTTTGGATATAGGAACCTAGCTTACTGTATAGGGAAGTAGAAGGGGTGGGGAATAAAAGCAGCAGGAGGACTGATAAGAGGGAGAGCAGATTGAGAGAAATGGTGGTCAAAAGCAAAACGTGGGTGAGGAGGCACAGAGTAATAAGAACGAGAAGGATAAACAGACGGAAAATAAAGATGGAAGGAAATGCACAGTAATCATGACTGTGAATGTGAATGGAATGTATTCACCCACAAAATGGAAGCAGACAGCAGAGAAAATAAAAACCAGAATCCTACAATATGTTGTTGACAAGAAACACATTTGAAGAAGAGAGAGAGAGAAACAGAGGGAGAGACACAGAGAGAGAGAGACAGAGACAGAGATAGAGACAGATAGAGACAGAGAGACAGAGACAGAGAGATAAAGAGAAACATAGAGGCAGAGACAGAGACAGACACAGAGACAGAGAGAGACAGAGAGAGTAAAGGGAATGGGCTGGAGAAGAATCCATTATGCTTCAGCTGACGTACCAATTAAAATGAAAAGTTAACAATTTTAAAGAAGTTTTGAATTGAATGTCTGCCGTCTCAGGCAGCCAGAAGAGTGCGGAGAGTGATAGGAGAGGTAGGAAAGAGAGACAGAGCTCACTTTTATCAGATCTCCCAAGGAGACATTTCAAATGAGATGTTTAAGACCTCTGAAATTTAATATGTCCAAAACAGAAGTCATTATCATTATTCCCAAAGCAACAATCATTCCAACTTTCCCAATTTCTGTATAAAGAACCATTAGTTTTCCAGTCTCCCAGGTTCATAATCTTGGTGTTACCCTGAATTCCTCACTTTCCCTCACCCCACAAATATAATTGGATGCCAAATCTTGCAGTTTCTGCCTCAACATCTCTTATATGTTATCCTTTGCTCAAACAGCTACCATCATCACTTCTCACCTGGATTATTCATCACTCTCCTTCAAGTGACTCCCCAGTTTAGTGTATTCTCCTTATTGCTGACAAAGTCATTAACCTTAAGTGCAGATCTCACTGTGTCATTATCTTATTCAATCAAATCCTTATTGTCTTGAGGATAAAATATAAACTCCTCCACAATCTGGCCCCACCCTATCTTTCTCTTGGTTCCTCACACACAACATTGCATCTGCTATCTCCTTCCCTTTGCACTGGCCATCCCCTATGCCTGAAATGCATTCTCTCTTCACTTCTACCTCCCAGAATCCCTTTCTTCCTTTGGTATATCTCAAGTACCAACTTCCATATGAAGTCTTTTCTGATTCCCTTAACTGTGAATGCTCTCCCTCCCAAACTACTATGTATTTAACTACTTTGTATCTCTTTTTATTAAACAAACATGATATAAAGTGAATAACTATCAAGCAGTTATTCCAAAGTGTGTGTTACATAAACACCACATACACTGTCTCCTCAAAAAATTGAAATGCACAACTAGTTTCTGGGAGATCTTTTTTTTTTTTGCTTTTAGGCAATTGGGATTAAGTGACTTGCCCAGGGCCACACAGCTAGTAAGTGTCAAGTGTTGGTCTGAGTCCGGATTTGAACTCAGGTCCTCCTGACTTCAGGGCCAGTGCTCTATCCACTGTGCCACCTAGCTGCCCCTCTTGGAGATCTTTTGACAATAGCAGAGAATGTTGGTGAATTCACACTTCTGTCCACCTGACTGAATCACTGAAGTCCACTAGACTCTTTAGGAGTCAGCTTCCTAGTGACCAGGTTCCAGACTTTTCATCATTTTCTCCAATATTCCATTCATCAACACCACAGTTTATGCAGCTGCTTAACCCAACATGCCTCTTTACCTGAAAGTTCTCTTTGATCCGCTTTTCAGTGAAGCTCTTTGCCAAGACTACCAACCCTCGCTGAATCTGGTATCGGATAGCAACCTGGGCTGGGGTTCGGTTGTGCTTCTTAGCAATGGCTCCCAACACTGGGTCTTCTAGGACAATGGGAGAATTTTGATCTACCCTGCAATGGAAAACAATCGTTTTGAAATCTGTGGTCAGGGAAGTGGGGAAGAGTTCAATGCCATGCAGATGGTAATCATCCTTTAGCTTTTTTTACATTTTTCAAAGCGTTTCCATAGACATATCATTTGAACCTCTAATAATATCATGAGGTAGAGAGGGCAACTGTTATTATCTTCTTTTTACATATGATGAAATGGGGCTTGGAAAGGTTAAATTATTTCTTCAAGACCATGCAATTAATAAAATGCCAGAAGTCAGACTGGAGTCAAATTCAGTTAATTAGAACCCCACAATCAATGCTGTTTCCACTACCCAATGTTGCACAGTTTGTAAGTACGCAAAAATTTGGGAAATCAACTGTATTAGCGATTAAGGAATCAATTACAGACCCCCTTTCTCACCATGGAGCCTCTCTGTGGGTTCCCAAGGAACTATATGCTACCAATATGATATCATTTGACTTGCAGAACTCCAACAATTTGCTCTGGTTCAGGTAAGGATGGCATTCCACCTGCAGTACAAGAAATGCTGACGTTTGGGCTTATAAAAATAAGATGCATGAGGCCAAAAGGGACAATATTAAGCTTTTTGATAATCAAAGGACTTGGAAATTACCCAAAGTACAGAATGTTAGCATGCCTATTTAAGGCCCATTTCACATAGAGCCGTTAGTGCTGAAAGGAGCAGAAAAAGTAGTTTTCAGTTAAGGAAGAGATTTAAATTAGTTAATAAAGAATGTAAGATTCAGATACTGCCATTGATGAATAGTTTGATGCCTGAAACAAGTGGGAAAAGAACTTTGGTTTAATAAAAAACTGTTTAAATGTGTTTGAAGAACCATAGCTTTCAGGTATTATTTCAGCAATTTTGAATAGAAAATCAACGGCATGATAAAAGTAGACTCAAATGACCTTATGGATTATATAGAATGAAACCTTACATGTCTATTAAAAGTTTATGGTTTAAAGAATCAAAGAAATAAGTTTTATTTATTTAAACCTGGGAAAATGTGAGTAGAAAGAAACAGTTTCAAAAACAAAACATGAGATCTAGAACTATGATGAAGATAAGAATAGCAGGGAGCTGTAGTCCCTCCCCTCATTTATCAGGAAGGAAACTGCACTAGAATAATAATTGTTTTACCTGATTGCAGACAGGTTTATATTTAAGCCCAGGTTTATTCAGGATCATCTCCAATTGCCTGCGGTTGAAGTTGGACACTCCAATGGATTTCACGAGACCTGCATCCTTACATTTCTCCATGGCCTGAGTAGAGAGGGATTGTGAATGCCTATAGAGCCCTGGAGGACATGTTGAGTAGAACCCTTTCCCCATGCATCACCTAGCTTTGATCTTTTCGCTTCCTCTCCCCTGATTTGAAAAAAAAGAACCTCAGGAGAGGATACCTCACAGAATTCAAACCTGGAAGGGGCTTTAGATACAATTTAGTTGAACTTCCTCATTTTTTTTTCTCTTTTGGTGAAGGAAATGAACATCTAGAGAAGTTATTGCCAAATGTCATATAAGTAACCAAACCATGATTTGAGTTCAGGTCTTCTGATTTTTAATATGCTGGTTCAGTGGACAGCTCTTTATCAGCCATATTTCTGGTTCTAAAAGAAATATGTTAACTGAACTTCATCTACGTGACTACCTTTCCCATCAAACTATAAATATCTGGAAGTTAAGTGATTATTTCAGGAAATGACATTTAAAATCATAGGAGCCAAAGCCAAGATACTCAGAAATATCAAATTAGCCTTTTATTCTTTGAAAAGGGTGATAAATCCACACTGTCAAGAAACAAAAATGGTAACAACCACCATCCAACTTCTAACTAATTTCTCTTGTTTTTAATTTTTGTTATTTTCCAGTACACTAATTACTCTCTTCCATGCAATTCCCATTCAATTGTCATGGGTTCTTTCCCCTTGATCTGAATCTGACAAGATGTCTAAATTTCTTGGAGTTTGTAAGAAATCCTGGGAGTGTGACTCTTCTCTTTGCCCTCCCCATTCTATAACCCACTTCAGGGGACCCAAGATCCCGCTGTCACCCACAGAGGCTGCTTCAGCAATACCTTAAAGTACATAATTCCCTGGATTTTCTGATTAGCCTGCCAATCCTCATTAATCCACATGTATATACTTTTTATATTAATATAGAATAAGAGTAAACCTTTAATGTCAACAGACTTCACTATCTTTTAGTCCAGCTGCCCTCATTCTTCAAATGATAGTGAGATGACTCACTCAATATCCCCAAATCAGCATCAGAGCTAAAATTAGAAGTCTAGGTTTCTAGCCTTGCATGTGTTACACTTAACAAGCTGCCTTTCATCTTTTCACTTGAGAAAATTCACTTCCAGCTACCTGAGAATCTCCCTTTCCAGTCACAATCACTGTTAGGCAGGGCTATCTTGACCTCAAAGCCAGAGCATATTTGTTGTCTGCTTCCACAAGTCACCTACCTCCCAAGTATCACGCAAATCCACAGAGTCACTGATAACTTTCTGATTTTCATCGAATGGGATCATATCTTTGCCAGGCTGTAATTAGAGAAAGGAAACTGCTCTTCTTGAGACACTCAAGCAAGTGAGTTATTCTATTCAACTCAACGAACATTTGTCAAACACCCAATATCAAATAAAAAATATCAAATAAGGCACTGAGCCAGGTGCCACAAATAAAACATGAAATAGTGATATAGTTCTTGCCTTGGAGGAGTTTACCTTCTACTAGTGGCAATCAAGTACATAGACAATTATAATACAAGTCCACAGGATCAGAGATGTAGACCTGGAAAAAAATCTTAGAGATCATCTAATCAAACCCTCTCTTTTTATTATATACCTAAAATTTTATTGGTAATTTGTGATATAAAATGTTTCTCTACAAACATTAAATCAAGCCTGATACAAAAAAGCATATTTTCTGAAACAATTAACCAAAACTGCCTAATTTAATTATATGGTTCTAACCGATAGTGTGTCACTTTTTAATTTAGTAGTCTACCGATATATAAAAAGAAAATACATGTCCTTTAACTTGAATTGTTTAGAATTTTTTATATGATTGTAGTGACATACATCCTTTCACTCATTCACTGATAAAGCATTTATTAAGCACCTATGGTATGTACCAAAAGGAAACAATTCACTACAGAATAGTTTTAGCAATTCCTCTTTTATTACTCATGGCCCAGAATCAGACTGCTAAATCCTTGATTCATTTTTATTCATTTGCCAGTTAATCAGCCTTCCGTAGCTGTAGCTGGTTTGGCTTGGAGGAATTCTCCCCTCCCCTAACACATTTATTCCTCTTCCTTCTCTGACTCCCTTCTTGTCCCTCCTTAGTCCAATCAACTCCCCTGTTTATTTTAACCTTTTTTTCTTATACTTCTCTTTCACAGCATGGATAAAGGATGGTTCATGTATCCCTTCATCCCCCAACCGTCTCCTTCTGTAGGGTATCTCCTTTAAACCCTCATACTCACAGTTTCTCTTTTCTCCTCACTAACCAATAGACAAAGTGGGGTTTCCCTTTTAGTTTGTAAGCACTGGACCATCACCCAGACTCTTAAGGCTACTTGGACTTGTTGACATTTTACAAATTTCTTTTCTCCCTTGCATTTGGCTGGGGGGAGGGAATTTAGGTTAAGTGATTTGCCCAGGCTCACACATCTAATAAGTATATGAGGGCAGATTTGAACTCAGGTTCAAAATTTGAATTTAGGTCCTGTTGGACTCCAGGGGCAGTGCTCTATCCACCATGCCAGTTAGCTGTCCCTGTCCCTTGCATTTCAAAGACTATTAAAGAAGACAGCCTCCAGAAGTAGAGGCAAGCAGTCAGGCTCCCACATACCAAGTCCAGCAGAACTAAACTTCATTTCACACTGAATAATGATCAAGAAATTAATGAGAAACAACAATAAATGAAATCTTCTACTCCAGAACTGTACAAAAAGTCACCCAGCAGCCCAGAGTCAAGAAAAGAACACCCTTTCTCTCCCCCCAAGCAAAGCTTCCTAGAGAGATGCAGCATGTCTAGTCTGCAATGCTCTCAGTCTAGGTTTAGCAAGAACAGAGGACTCACCTGAGAAAGCCCTAGGGTGCAGGCCTTGAAAACCCTGGGGTGGAACAGCTGGAAGAAATACTGAGGTGCTACTGAGCTTAGGTTGGAACAGCCAAGGTCAAACAAAGCTAAGGGGATCTGAACATTCTGTTCTGAGATACCCCAGAAAACCCAGCTCCCTGAACCTCAAAGAACATGGGAGCCAAACTCTAGGAGATGGAGGTCAGTGCAAGAACCCAAGCCAAGACCAAGCAGAGCAAATCACTTAACCCAAAAGTGCAGCAAGGGCCCTTGCCTTCACCCTGGAACAAAGCCCCATTTAAGAAACTGAATTCAGAGATGACTAAATCAAACACCCAAAGTAATAATTTTTTAAAGTATTGCAAATCCAACTTAAAAAAAAGAGAGATTTATCAGTGTAACAGATTAAGTATACCACATACTGGTGCAAATATATCTAACCCCCTAATATGCAACAAAAAGAAGACTCCAGTTACTGGAGTAGGTACTCACTATTTAACAAAAACTGCTGGAAAAATTGAATGGTAGTATGGAAGAAATTAGATTTAGATGAGTACCTCATACCTTATGCAAAGATAAGCTCCAGATATGTATGTGACCCATGTGTAAAAAACTTTAACATAAATTAATTGGACAATCTTGCTTTATTTCTAACCTAGGCAGGTTTGCTTCTCCTGAGGCAACCTGGAGGCTCACCAGATCTGTGCTGGTCTTGGTGGGAACCATGGATAAGCAGTAGCACTACTATAGCTCAGAACTCTCTAACTTGAGCCATCTACCAGCCTTAACCTCCCCAGGAGCAGGCGCAGATTAAAAATAAGCAACACAAATATCATGTTATATCCTGATGGACCAAGAATGTGGAAGTCCCCCAACCTCCTGGTGGTCTAACATTAGAAAGTCCCTCAACTCTATGCAATGAGAGTTGACCTTGACAATGGACTTATTCCACTGTTGGGGTTTCTTCCTGTCCTTAGATAAGAGACACTGAAGTTTTTTTCTAAAAGGACTGTTTTCACAATTGTCAAAGACTAATTGTGAAACCTTGTTATCTTCTCCTTATCCTCTGACTTTAAACATTTGTTTATTCTGGTAGTAAATCCCACCACTTGCATTCCAAATACTCCTTTTTTCTGCTTTGACTGATACCCCAAGCCTTTTCTGTGGAATGCTTTTTTCCTATCCTCAATTGTTATGCAATGTTGCTGATTGGCTGTGTACTCTAAGCAGTCTGAAAGTCATAAAACCAAATTTATACTCAATCAAAAGAAAATGAATTTGCTATCAGCAAGAGCAGATTCCATAGCATTCTAATAAATCTCCAAGCTTTTTCCTCCTATCTTTGACCCACAGTCACTGGACCCTGCTGACAGGTATGCTTCTCCCAACAACTCAAGAGAATTCCCCAACCCAGGGACTATAGGCATTTACCACCATGACCAGCCTTATCTCTTAAGGTTAAATCAGGATTTATTTAGGAAATGTTTACTTACAGGCATCTACTTTAAATATTAGGACACTGACACCCAACCCTATCAACAATGGCTTTTTTTTTCCTGTCAAAACATTAATCTGCAGTCCTCTAGAGACAAAGCCCAAATAAGGACAAAACATTCCTTCACTTCTTACAGAAGCAGGGCTGAAAATGCCAAGGCAGAAAAGGGAGAAATGTGGTCAAAATATCTTTGTGTACCTAGACAAGGTTCTAGTACTTACTTTAAAAGACATGGGGCAGTGGATAATATAAAGGTCAATGTAATCAAGCTGGAGGTTTTTCAGCGTCTCTTCCAAGGCAGGCCTGACCAATTCTGGGCGGTGGTATGTATTCCAAAGCTAAAGGGAGTGAAAGAACATTCAAAGTAACCTGGAATATTCTTTATCAAAGCAATTCCTAGCAGAACAGCAAATTGTGGCAATACCAGGACAGCAGACTGAGTTCTCAGAATGGCCAGTTTACAGAAAAATTGTGTGTAAGCTCATCCTTGTCACTTAACCTCTCTGTGCCTGTCTCCATAAAATGAGAGACAACAAATAAATTCTATCTACCTTCAAGAGTTCTTATGAGGTTCAAAAGAGACATCCCATGCTTTGTAAACTGCAAAAAGGACCTCTTTGGGAAGGAGAGAAATTTACCCACTAGAGCAAGGGTCTTGAACTACCTATTGAAGGAGGTTGTGAATGAATGTACACCCAGTATGGAGACATCTCTGAATCAGGGGTTTTAAAAGTACGAGACAAGCCTGAAGCTAGAAAGTTAAGAGGAAGAAACTCATGGATTGAGGTGAGGTGTTTTCTGTGGGCCAAACCTATCTGACCATTGAACAACGAGGTATCCTCTCAACTCATGTTAATGCTGGATTTCGAATATTAACAAAGCCGTGTTTTGGTAACTTACACTAGGAAGCAGTAGCTACAGAATCAAATGTCAAAAGACATAGTAGAGAAGTAGGCACTGACTAACATACAACACCTTCACTTTCACCTTATTGGTTGGGTAAGTGGCCAATTTTCACTACATCAGTTCCTAAGATTGAACACAAAGATGATTTAATAGCACACCAGAGACAGACAACAGGCTAGATTTGTTCCTTTCTATGCTTTTAGTTTGGGAGGAGGTTTTAGGAGATGATAAGCAACATTGCTATTACTTTAATCTCTTACTATTTACTTTTCTTCCTATTTCACTTTGGAAACCTTTAATATGATTTAATTAATTGTCCTAATCCAAACTCCTGTCTCCAACAAAGTAATGTAATGACTAATATCTTCTGCAAGATTCAGGGACTTTTGAAATGCTAGAAACCAGCCACCTTTGGGGACCAAAAGAAAAGAATAAGACTGAGCTAGAATAGGTTGATAAAGTACCTTTTAATCCTTTTCTCATCTAACTCCAGTTAAATACAAATAGCATGACAAGACTATGAGAAAACCTTTAGACTTCTTAATTAATTTAATTAAATAAAACCCATGAAACTTTTTAATGATATAATAGCATGTTGCTGAATTTCTAACAAATTTGAGTGCACATTACTGCTATTCAGAAGCAATTAAGCCCACATACTCTTCCTTAAAAAAAAAAAGTTGCAATCTACTTTGTTTTTGTCTGGTCTTTCAGGCATTCTTCTATGTTTCCCACAATGATAAGGTGCTTTTAAAGAATGACTAATATGACTAATAATCAGCTACATATTTATGATTTGTATTCTTTCCATTAAATCTGGAATTCAACTTCCTGTTAGATAATTTATTTCTAATTTACAAAAAAAAAAATACAGGTTTATCAAACACTAAATTCCACAGTAAGAATATTACTTTCCTCCAAATTAACTCTACTTTTGACCCATTAGATAAAAAGAAAAGTCCACTAACTGATCATCCCATACATTCTCACAATTTAGTCAAGGAGCTTATGTCCTGACTGAACGTAGGAATAATTTAGATTATAGTCTTCAGGTTTAAATTTAAACTGCTAGCACAACTATGAAACTGTCAATTCAAAATAGTGAGTCCACTGAATACCAAAAAAATGATATTTGGCATGTCATAATAAGACGAATAATCTCACAGCTGCTCATTTAGAAAATATAGTCACTGTTTCTCCTTAATAGCTTTTCCTGAAGGTGCTTGTTTCTCTCCTTGTCCCTGAAGAGATTTCTTAATTATTTATCTAGGGAAATTAAATGTTCAGCTATTTTAAACTTGCTTATAGGAGTGTAAGCTCCTGAAGAGCAAAGACAATGTCTGTTCTTTAATGAATATCCCTGTGCAAGTGTGCATCTTGCTTATTAACTGAGTGGCCACTCTACTTTTGAAATTAAATGACTGGAAGTTAAATTCCATTGCTTCTCATCAACATTAGCTAGCCTTCCTCTTTTCCCTTATGCAGCATAATTCATTTTTGTTTTCTAGATTGCCTTGGTTGGGAGGATTCCCCTTTGTTCCACATAGAATATTGTTTATATTTTGTCACCTTTTTTCAATTTTGAAAAAAAATCCCACAAAATTCAATCCCTGATTTCCTCCCAACAATACCTTCCCGGTGTAGAATATGTCCTTTCTGGTCACTGTCCCATCGGCAATCTTCGCGCGGATTGCCTGTCCAACTTCTTTTTCATTTTCATATAGGAAAGCCCCATCAATATGGCGGAAGCCCACCTCAATAGCCACCTTTGTGGCCATCTCACCTTCGCTTTTGGGAACCTAAGGATTCAAACGGAGAGAGTTTCAACCTGGATAAAGATACCTTAGCCCAATGGACCCCCTTCCCTATACATGGCCCTTTAACTATTGCTTCTCCTTTCCTCTATTCTATCTCTCCAGCTCCACTTTCTCCCTTGCTTGTCTTTTTCTTGGTCAAGTACTACTGAAGTCTTCCATTGAGCAGCTGCATTTTGTAATTTGTTTTCTTTAGATCCTGATGCTTGTTTATTTTTCCATTTGGCCATTCTAAGAAGTATGGAGCTATTAGGTAATAGAGAGAATTAGACATTTTGCCAGATAGACAGATGCCCAGGTCAGTTGAATTCTTTGACTTAGACCAAGGGTGGGGAACCTGTGGCCTTGAGGCCACATGAGGCCTTCTTGATCCTCAAGTGGGCCCTTTGACTGAATCCAAACTTCACAGAACAAATCCCCTTAATAAAAGGATTTATTCTGTAAAACTCAGACTTAGTCAAAAGGCAACACCCAAGGATTTAGAAGGCCATATGTGGCCTCCAGGTCCCAGGTTCCCCACCCCTGGCTTAGATTTCAATCTTCAGACTTCAGTTTCAGGATCTGCTGCTATACATTACATGCCTTTCCTCCTCCCACAGCCCATAGTTTGATGGAATGTTTTGTTTTAAGTATATTGAGTTACAGGCTTTTGCAAGACAGCAAAGTACTATGCCAGAAAACTGGGCAATAATAATTCACATTGCAAAGCCAATAATGCCTAAAGGAGGGGAAAAGTTTTCAACAATAAGAAGTTTGGGAGAAGACTTTTTGTCTATTAGAGAAAAAAACAAAAAAAAAGAGATAAACTTAAAAGAATCCCTCCCAATCATAGATTAAAAAAAAAGAAGAAAATTAACTTGACTTCTGCTATCTATCACTACATATTTAAATTAAAATTCTAGAATCACCTAAAGGAACAAGACACAGAGTTTAGAATTACTGTTAGGGAATCTATACCTATAACCTTAGCTATCATATTGATAAGGATAAGAGGTCAAACAATTCAAGTTTCAAAGTGTTGGTAGTGAGATTTTGCCAACAACCACTTTAGGTACAAATATGGAAAAACCCATTAATCGTAAAAGAATTAGATCCATCCAACCAATAAATAGGCTAAATAATGATGTTGCAGTATAACTGGCTACTTACTCAGCTCAATGTAACTTTTTTTGAATTATATATAATAATGCTTTGTACTTTATTACATGTATATGTAGTGTTGCATGTATGTTATTCATATATATGTATATATATATATATATATATATTTACTGTTGCTAGAGTTTGCCTTATTAGAAGCAGCTTGTTAAGTGTTGCTTTGAATTGTGATATGCATATAATATGTATACTTTATGTATATATGGTGATGAGTTGTACTATAAAGAAAGCTGAGCACCACAGAATTGATGCTTTCATACTGTGGTGCTGGAGAAGACTTTTGAGAGTCCCTTAGACAGCAAGGAGATCAAATTACTCATTACTAATTAATTCAGGCTAATCACTGGAAGGTCAAATACTGAAGGTGGACATGAACTTGGACAGATTTTGAGAGATAGTGGAGGACAGAAGGACCTGGTGTGCTGTGGCCCATGGAGTCACAAAGAACCATACATGACTGAACAACAAATATTATAAGTAACATTAGGGTGAATGTTATATATCCCAAAACGATTTTCAAGAAATAAAATTATGGGTTGCAGGGAATACAGCATTAGGTTCAGCAGCTTTTCCCACAGACTGCAGGTACTATTACTATATTTTTAAGGGAGATTAGAAAAAAGGGGGGGGGGAGATTGTAGCAGAAAAGGACATCAACCTCTCTTCTTTTTTTTCTCTGTTTTTATTAATTTATTTTGATTTATTAACAATCATTTCCATAAGCTTTTGAGTTTTAAATTTTTCTCCCTCTCCCTCCCCAAGACTTAGGCTATATATATACATTCCTGTTAAACATATTTTCACATAAGTGATGTAAGAAAGAATTAGAACCAATAGGAGGAACCATCAAAAAGAGGAAACAAAAACAAAAGAAAAAAATAGCAAATAGTATGCTTCGATCTCCATTCAAACTCCATAGTTCTTTCTTTGGAAGTGGATAGCATTTTCCATCATGAGACCTTTGGAGATGTCTTTGATCCTTGCATTCTCCTTCTCCTTTGTAAGGAAAAGTCTTCAACGAGGTTCCTCCCACCAAATGAGGGTATGCATGGAATAGTTAAGAATTAAAGAAAAGGCTTCTCCTTCTTCTGTCTAGTCAAAGGAAAAACTATTAACTAAGACTGACCACAAGAGAGGAGAACTTTGGAGAACACAGTGAAGAAAAAGGCCTAAAGAAACCCAATGGAGCTTGTAAAAGAAAGGTACTCAACTTGATCTGATCCCCCAGAGTAGAGAAAACCTAGAATTTAACCCCTAAGGCCTCAGTAACAAAAATGAATTAAGCAAAAATTAAAATAAAAAAACTTTTATGAATACAGAGATGACAAAGGCACTAACCAGAAGAGAATGCAAAAACTTCTGTAATCAAAACCACAAAGAAAAAAAAGCTTGCCCACAAGAAAACTTCTAATTTTTTTTTAAATTATGAGTTTAAAAAAAAGTATAAAAGAAATCAGAATTACTGAGACAAGAACTGGGGAAAGGAGCAATAGCTTAATAGCAGAGGTACAAAACTTCAGTAACACACTCTCTAAAAAATCAGAATGGACCAAACAGAAATGAACGCTTCTACAAGACAACACAATTCTTAAAACAGGGTCAAAAGCAATGTGAAAATGAGAAAATAAAGTGAATGGGAATGGGATGAATTCATCCATAAAATAGAAGTTGGAATGGATTTGGAAAACAAAATCCAACAACATATTGTTTACAAGAAACTTACTTGAAATAGACTCAAAAAGAGTTAAAATAAGGGGTTGGGACAAAATCTATTATGACTCAGCTGAACACAAAATAGCCGGGATAACAATTATGCTATTATGCAATGGCAATAGCCAAAATAGATTTAATTTTAAAAGAGATAAACAGAAAATTTATTTTCTGAAAGGTAACACAATGAATTGATTTCATACTTAATATACATGTAATCAATAGCATAACATTAAAAACAAAGAAAAAACTAAATGAATTACAAAGAGAAACAAACCATAAAACTATAATAGTGAGGGACTTCAATTTACCCCATCAGCCCTACATAAAATAACAAAAAAAAGTGAAAAATTAAGAACATGAATAGAATCTTATGTAACTTAAATATGATAGACCTCTAATGATTATTGAAAGGAAATAGAAATTAGTATTCATATTTCTCAGCTGTGTATGACTGCTTTGCAAAAATTGACCATGACATCATAATAATGTTATATTATAAAGGGCCACTGAAAAAAGTATTAAAAATAAACCATACCACAAAGCTCCATTGAAATATCATTTTGTCCAGAAAGCCTTCCCTTATCCCATTTCTCCCTCTCCCCACTTGGTTATTATCTCTACTTCAAACTTCTCATAATTCTTTGCAGTATAACTCTCTAATGTCATTATCATATAATGTGTATTTATAGTTTTCTGTGTTTGTGTCTTATTTCTCTTTTAGGTTATGAGTTTCATGAAATTAGGAGCAGTGTCTTAGCTAACAGACCAGAAAGTATTAACGTGATTCCATCTTGTTCCCCCTAGCCTGAAGGTCCCCATATACCATCTTCTGTTTTCCTGTTAGGGTAGCCATGCTTGGGCTTGTACCCTTCCTCAGCTACTCAACCAGTAAGTCCAGACCCTATGTAACCTCAACCAATCATAAAATTTGGTGCAGATAACTGCCAGTTCCTTCTCCTTCTTCCGCCCCTCTCTCTCCTCCCTCAGAACTAAAGGGGAGGAGGCAGACAAAGCACATCTGACAGTGAGGCAGCGACACCTAGGGAGAGAATGGGTTCGGAGCTGTGGCTGTTGATCTCTGCACAGCGGGGCTATTTCCCCACAAACTCCAAACTACTTCAAGAGCCCTGCCATCCTGAATGAAGGAAGAAATATCACTATGTGGAAGCAGAGAGAGGGATGGGGCTGGAAAAAACCTCTTTCTCTTGGCTGGCTCCCATCTGTGCTCAGATGTTAAGCAAAATACAACCCCACAATTACCTTTCTGTCTCTTTCCGCTTTACTAGCTGCAATACTCACACAGCAACATGGATACTGCCCAAATACAGCTTTGCTTGCTTTGTACTCTTTTTCCCTAATGCTCAGACTCCTTCAATATCCAGATGCCCTCATGCTGACCCTGCATTTCCTGCACCTGTAATTGAAATAAAGCTGTCCCTTCTCTTCAACCCCAGGAAGTTAAGGGAATCCACCCACACATCTTCCAACATCCATGTTCCCCTGAGGGGCACAGGTTCAATAAGTAATTTGTCCATAGAGTACAATCCTTACTCTCATAAGGTACTATCTCTACATAAGGTACAGATTTACTTCAAAGATGGTGCACGTTCATAGTAATTTTGTGACTGAAAGTGTAATTATAAAATGGCTTGTGCTTATGCCTGCAGAGCTGAAAGAGCCTTGCCCTGGGCAAGGTCCTTCTCTCCAGTGTGGTTCCCTTTTTGTCCTCAAGCCGCAATCAAAGGAATACAGGGCAACATTAAGGACCAAGTCAACTACAGGTGAAAAATCATATTAAAAAATCATACAATTAAATTTAAATTAAATCAAGTTTATGCAATAATTATAGTTGATAGGTTTTATATAATTCATAAACATAATTAAAGTAATTAAAAATAATATTAAATCTGGAAAATATTCTGCAACAGAATTTTTTTTAAAAACACAACTAAGCAGAAGTAAGGCAGGCAGCAGGACCTGTTTTTCTCTTAGCACTTTGGCTCCTGGATAAGAGCATGCATGATACACAGCCCCACATTCTCTCTGCTGGTCCATTTAATTATCATCTGTCAAGGTCTCGAAGATGAGAAAGGCATATACTGCAGACACCGTGTGCCACAGGTGCTCCTCTCCTCTCCTCTCCTCTCCTCATACACTCCCAAGAGCTTTTGCAAACTCTGGACTTTGTGAAAAACCTTCCTCCCTCCCACCCGAGGGCTGATCTCACCTTAGCTGTCTTTTCCCAACCTGGGAAGAACTACAACTCCAGGCTCTCTGGCCCGCCGGTGGTGGTTAAATTCAAGATGTGATATATTTAACACAGTGTCAGTTTTATATAGAAATTCACTATCCTACATTGATACGTAATTGTGTATTTCTACCCCCAAAAAGTCTCTCTAACGCCATACTGGGTAGCATGAGAAGGGAATTAGGATAATACACTTCGTCTCCCCTCCCTATATAGTGCTCACCCTCACCCACAAACCCCACTCCTCTCTATACTTACGCTTCTAGGTGCATAAGTACCAAGTCCCAGCACCGGGATGGTATTCCCGTCATTCATTGTTACCCTATGAGATTTGGAAAGAGCCATTTCTTTTCACCTCACAGATCAGGTCAGTTCTGTGCAAAATCAGAAAACTCCCACGCTGTGGCAAAGACTAAGCCTGAAGCCCTGGTTATTTATATTTATACTCTATTGCCCAATGAAGTTCAGACGGAGCGGCATGGTTTTTGAAGTTGCATGGGGTGGAGTGGGGAGGAACAGCAAGCCACGAATCACGTCTCTACAGCTTCCCCCAGAGCGTAGCAGCATTGAAGTGTTAAAGTAAGTAAACAAAGTCTCCGTTTGACTTAAATTTGATTGCTATCCTCTTTTCCGGTAGTTCTTCCTAAAGAATAGTGTGGTCTGAGTGGAAGGACTGGGGAAGGAAGGGCAGGGTTGGAGGAGGGAAAAAGGAGGTGGGGAGGAAGAGATCACAAGGAGGGAGGAGAGCGATGGAAAGCGAGAAGGGAGAGGAAAGCTAAGAAGGTGAACTGATTTAGGCAGTCTTTTTGACCCTTTCGCCAAGGAGGCAATAAACACTGAGTTTGAAAGGAAGCAATGTCCCCAAAGGAAAGTAAAACTGTCCAGGAAAGAGAATGAGTTCTCCAGGCATGTATATTGATAGCTTTATCTGCCTTGGCTTGCCAGAATCTCCTTGTGGTTAGATATTGGGTTAAAGGAATTAATTTTTTTTATTATTTGTGCTTTTAAATAGATTTTATCTGTTATTCTAGTCATAGTAATATTATCACTGAAAATGTTTATTTTGTTCTTTACCTTTGATGCTTTTGAGTTTTGAGCTGAATTCAGCTCAGCATTTCTTAATATTTTTGGAAGATTTTCTTTACTTCTTATTATAATGTTTGGTGTATCTTTTTAAAATATTTGCACTGGTTCTACAGCTTGATTTTTTTTTAAATCTAGTTTCTAATTTGTTTCCTTTTACATTGATTTAATTTCTCTTTCAGGTTGATTTACAAGATTCACATCACAAATAGTATTTAAAACAAAGTGCACAATTTTGTAGCCCTTTGAGCATAGTTCCAAATTGCTCTCCAGAATGGTTGGATCAGTCCACAATGCATTAGTTTTCCAGTTTTCCCACATCTTCTCCAACATTCATCACTTTCCTGTTTTGTCATGTTAGCCAATCTGATAGGTGTGACATGGTACCTCAGAGTCATTTTGATTTGCATTTCTCTGATCGATAGTGATTTAGAGCATTTTTTTCACATGACTATATACATCTTTAATTTCTTCATCTGAAAACTGCCTATTCATGTCCTTTGACCACTTATCAATCGGGGAATGACTTGTATTCTTATAAATTTGACTCAATTCTCTATATATTTCAGAAATGAGGTCTTTATGAGAGACACTGGCTGTAAAAATTGTTTCCCAGCTTTTTGCTTCTCTTCTAATCTTGGTTGCATTGGCTTTCTTTGTGCAAAGACTTTTCAATTTAATGTAATCAAAATCATCCATTTTGCATTTCATAATGTTCTCTATGTCTTGTTTGGTCATAAATTCTTCCTCCTCCATAGATTTGATAGATAAACTATTGCTTGCTCTCCTGGTGTGCTTATAGTATCAGTCTTTATATCTAAATCATGTACCCATTTTGACTTTATTTTGGTATATGGTGTATGGCTAGTTTCTGCCATACTCTTTTCCAGTTTTCCGAGCAGTTTTTGTTAAATAGTGAGTTCTTATCTCAGAAGCGGGAGTCTTTGGATTTATCAAATAGTAGATTACCATAGTCATTGATTACTGTGTCTTGTGTACCTAACCTATTCCACCATTCCACCACTCTATTTCTTAGCCAGTACCAAGTCATTTTGACAATTATTGCTTTATAATACAATTTAAGATCTCATACGGCTAGGTCACCTTCCCTTGCATTTCTTTTCATTAATTCCCTTGATATTCTGGACCTTTTGTTCTCCCAGATGAATTGTGTTTTTTTCTAGCTCTACAAAATAATTTTTGGTAGTTTGATTGGTATGGCACTGAATAAGTAAATTAATTTGGGTAAGATTGTCATTTTTATTATATTCTACCCATGAGCAACTGATATTTTCCCTATTTAGATCTGACTTTATTTGTGTGAAAAGTGTTTTATAATTGTGTTCATATAGTTCCTGAGTTTGTTTTGGCAGGGAGACTCCCAAATCTTTTATAATGTCTACAGTAACTTCAAATGGAATTTCTCTATCTCTTGCTTTTGGGTTTTGTTAGTAATATATAGAAATCCCAATGATTTATGTGGGCTTATTTTATATCCTACAACTTTGCTAAAGTTGTTTATTATTTCAAGTAGTTTTTTACTTGATTCTGTAGGATTCTTTAAGTATACCATCATATCATCTGCAAAGAATGATAGCTTTGTTTCTTTTTTGCCTATTCTGATTCCTTCAATTTCTTTTTCTTCTCTTACTGCTAAAGTTAACATTTCTCGTACAATATTGAATAACAGTGGTGATAATAGACATCCTTGTTTTGCCCCTGATCTTATTAGAAACGCTTCTAGCTTATCCCCATTACATATAATGCTTGCTGATGGTTTTTGATACATGCTACTTATTATTTTAAGTGTATTATACTCATAACAAGTTACTGTAATCTCTTTGCTAATATTTTATTTAAAATTTTTGCATCTATATACATTAGGGAAATTGGTCTATAATCTTTCTCTGTTTTGGCTCTTCCCAGTTTAGGTTATCAGCACCATATTTGTATCACAAAAATAATTTGGTAGGACTCCTTCTTCATCTGTTTCCCCAAAGTTTACATAGTATTGGAATTCATTGTTCTTTACATGTTTTATAGAATTCACTTGTAAATCCATCTGGCCCTGGAGATTTTTTCTTAGGGAGTTCATTGATGGCTTGTTCAACTTCTTTTTCTGAAATGGGGCTACTTAGGTATTTTATTTCCTCTTCTGTTAATCTGGGCAATTTATATTTTTGTAAATATCCAACCATTTCACTAAGATTGTCAAATGTATTGACATACAGTTGGGCAAAATAGCTCCTAATTATTGTTTTAATTTCCTCTTCATTGGTGGTGAATTTACCCTTTTCATTTTTGATGCTGGTAATTTGGCTTTCTTCTTTCTTTTTTGTTTTAATCAGATTAACCAAAAATTTATCTATTTTATTAGTTTTTTCCCATAAAACCAGCTCTTAGTTTTATTAGTTCAATAATTTTCTTAATTTCAATTTTATTAATCTCTCCTTTGGTTTTCAGAATTTCTAATTTGGTATTTAGTTGGGGATTTTAATTTGTTCTTTTTCTAGCTTTTTTTAGTTGCATGCCTAATTCATTGATCTCTTCCTCCTCTATTTTATTCATGTAAGCATTGAAACATGTAAAAGTTCCCCTAAGAACCACTTTCATTGCATTCCATAAGTTTAGGTATGTTGTCTCATTATTGTCATTCTCTTGGATGAAGCTATTGTTTCTATGATTTGTTGTTTGACCCACTCATTCCTTAGGATTAGATTATTTAGTTTTCAATTAATTTTAGTCCATCTTTCCATGGCCCTTTATTACATGTAATTTTTATTGCATCATGATCTGAAAAGGATGCATTTAATATTTCTGCCTTTCTACAATGGATTGTGAGGGTTTTATGCCCTAATACATGGTCAATTTTTGTGTAGGTGCCATGTACCACTGAGAAAAAGGTATATTCCTTTCTATCCCAATTGAATTTTCTCCAGAGGTCTAACATTATCTAACTTTTCTAAAACTCTATTCACCTCCTTAACTTCTTCATTGTTTTATTCTGTGGTTAGATTTATCTAGTTCTGAAAGGGGGAGGTTGAGGTCCCCCACTAGTATAGTTTCACTGTCTGTTTCTTCGTGTAACTCCCTTAACTTCTCCTCTAAGAATTTGAATGCTATACCACTTGATGCATATATGTTTAGTAATGATATTACTTCATTGTCCATGGTACTTTTTAGCAGGATGTAGCTTCCTTCCTTATGTCTTTTAATTAGATCTATTTTGTTTTTGCTTTCTCTGAGATCAAGATTGCTAACCTTGCTTTTTTTACTTCATCTGAAGCATAATATATTCGACTCCAGCCTTTTACCTTTACTCAGTGTGTATCCCTCTGCTTCAAATGTGTTTCTTGTAAACAATATATTGTAGGATTATGGTTTTCAATACACTCTGCTATCCACTTCTATTTTATGGGAAAGTTCATCCCATTCACATTCATAGTTATGATTGCTAACTGTATCTTTCTCTCCATCCTATTCCTCTCTCCCCCATTTATGCTTTGCTCTCTTTTCTCCTTTTCCCTCTTTGCTGGTATTTTGCTTCTGACCACCCCCTTCCTCAATCTGCCTTTCTATCAGCCCCCTTCCTTTTCTTTCCCTTTCCTCTACTACTTCTTCCCTCCTTTCTATCTGCCCCTTCCCTTTTCTTATGCCTTTCCTCTCCTACTCCCTATAGGGTAAGTTAGATTTCTATACCTGAATATGTTATTCCGTCTTTGTTCCAAATCTGATAAGAGTAAGGTTCATAAATAGTACTTTCAAAACTACCCTGCTTGTCTGTACTTCCTTCTGAACTTTCTTCTCTTTTTTTCAGTACATTTTAAACTGTTACAAGGGTGCTTTTTCTTTTCACACCATTACTGGTAACCTCTTTCTCTCCCTTCCATTGCCCTTCCCCCAATTAAAAACAGAGAAAAAAAGAAAAAAATCTTGTAAAAGGGGCAGCTAGGTGGCATAGTGGATAAATGCTTATTACATAAATTCTCCCTCACCCTCATCCAGTGACTCAGAATTACCTCCAAGTCAACTAAAGGACTCGCTTCCTTCCAGATAAAATAAAACTGGCCATAGTTATCTAGCTGGAAAAACACTTGCAGGAGAGCCAACTCCCTCTTGGCTGAGAAATTCCCCAGCAAACAATACTTGTAATATATACATACATCTGAGTCTAATAAACACGGTACCAAATCACTACAATAAAATTGCACCCTCATTATTTCACTTACCATTACTTTATTAACAATCACGTATTTCTCCACAGTGAATTAATTGAATAATGTAAATTTAGGCACTGTAGCACACAGGTTGACATTAGCGATTTATAGGTCAGTTTTCTAAAATCCCTCAATACCTTGTCTTCAGTCCCTTAGTACTAGAGATTTTGCAAAAACATGGAAAGTCTGGCCACCCTCCAAATGTTTATATTTCCCAACTAAAGCTGCTCCTATATACATTTTTTTAAAACACAAAACACTTTCCAGGGTTGGGGTAGTAGAGAAAATTTTCTAGAAGTCAAGATTGCTGTCTTTGTACTCAGATGTGAAGGGCAGAGAAAGAAGGCCAGTCCAGACCATCCTCAGTATTCGATGTTGAAAGGATAGTCTTTGTGATTTTTAGCACTACAAAAAGAGAAAAAAAAAAGATCCTGGTAAAAATTTAACAAATAAACATCTGAACCAAGTAATGTGTATTGTTTCTTCCTGTTGGCATAAAGTTAATCTTAACCCCACTTAGTGACTTGCACAGGAGTTAATAATGCAGGTGTGGCAGGAGGTGGGGATTTCGCTGATAATAGAGAACCTCCAGGTGAGGAAACCCCCTCTACCCAGCACCTTCTCTGTAATTTAGAATCTCAGAAAGCTGCTTAGAGCAAGGGTTCCCTGCCTGTTTTATAAAACATTTTAAAAATGTAAAAAACATTATTAGTTCATGATGGGGTGCTCATGATGGACCCCTAAAAGGAAAATACCATGTCTTTGGGACCTGAACCCCAAAACCCCTGAACCCAGATCTCTGGTGTTCACCCGTTCCCAGTCAATAATCCTTTTAACTGCCCTTTCACTGGGGATCTCCCACCACTTAACTCCTTTCATTGTAGGGTACCTGGCCCTAGCCCAGGCTACTTGCCACTCCTTAATCCCATCCAGATCTTCCCACAGTCTTTCTGTATAAAATATCAATCTTATCCTCATCAAACGTTCAGATTCTTAAAATCTGGCCCACTTGTAGGGGCATTACAAATAGTGCAGACTCACTAGGAGTCTGCCCCACTTCTACTGGTTTTACAACAAACTTGCTACTTGGATTGAAAAAAGGCTTGAGTGGTTGAATTCTTTGGAGGCAGATCTGTGCCCTGTACCCTTGCATTTTGGGGCTCCTAGCACCCCTAGACCACAATAGTTCAGGCTGTGTGGGACAACGGCCACACTAGAATTAAAAGTTCAGAGGCTGAGGTAGAGATCAGAAAAGATTTTATTCTTTCTCATGAGAAAGGGCACAGCCCTTGTCCCTCAAGCAGCGGCAGCCAGAGAGTACAAAGTCTGTTAGCGAGGAACAAAGTTTTATTGTCCTAACCAGATGCCCCCTCCCCATTCCTGACCTCTTCTTCCTATTGGCTAGGTTTCAGGGCTTACAATCTAAACTGGCTTTCTAAGACCCTTAGTACAATAATATCCTTATTTGGAAATATTTGCCTAGATTGATAACCATTTAGAAGTTCTCCCTAAAAATATAAGTAGGAAGCCCCTGGCGGTTAAGCTAGCAGTCTTTACAATGTTTATCTTGCTAGAGGAATTGGAAGGCAAGTCAGCTCTTGCTTAATGCACAGCAAATGTTTGACTGCTTTGGGGGTACAAAGGGAATTTATGAGTTTTAGTACTGAGGAAACTTCATCTGTCTCACTCAAGGCCAAGCAGAAATAACTCTAATTCCATGTGACAGTTTGCAAAGTATGGTATAGATGGTTACAAAGCACCCCTTGGCATACCTTTTTAGGTTATATATAAACACTCCCACAACCTAAGAAAGATTTGTCATTATTTTCACTGTTGTCATTAATTGGCTCTGTAAGACCACAACATTGATGCTACTGGCAGAACTAGCCCCAGATAAATACTGGTATAAAATTGGCAAGGAGCTGAATAATGCTACAGTGGAGTGTGCTTATAATTCATTACTGAATATTTTAGGAAACTACTTTACTTCTGTGACAATAAAATCTTATGTGGGTTATGCCTCCAATAGCTAAATATTAATATGAATAATTTCACCACCATAAAGCTCTTTAAAAGTTTTTAAAGTATGAAAAGCTTACAAAAAAGGCTAAAAGGCAGCATGGCATATGATAGGGAAAGTACTGGTTTGGAGTCAAGAAGACATGCAAACACTGCCTCAGACACTTACTAGTCAAGTGCCTCAGGCCAAATTAATTAACCTCTTTAGGCAATTCTTCAATATTAATTTATTTACTAAATCAGGCACATCACAGGCCTCCCAACCAGGAATAGAGGAGATCACAGACAATTTTTATTGCATGAAATTCAAAAGTTTTGGGATTAACAAAATTAAGGCAAGTAGGATAAGAATGGAAGTGACTAGAAAAAAACTTTGCAACTATTTTTGGTAACGGTTTGATATCCAAGATATGTAGATAACCAAAGACAAAAGCTAATACCTGTTGTATAAATGGGGGGAAATATCAGCAAACATTTCCAAAGAGAAGAACAATCATAATCACTAATAACAAGCAAAGTGAAAGCTGAGGCTTCACCCCCACAGCTAGCACACTGGCAAAGATGACAAAAAATCGGAAGAATCAATGTTGGAGGGGTTGTGGTAAGAGAACTTATACTAATACATAGTATTTAGGACTGCAAAATGGTCCAACCTTTCTGTAAAGCAATTTGGAATGATTTTTTTTTTAAAAAGAGACAGTTGCCATCAATTCCCATTGCTATGCATGTACCACCAACTCCCAAAGGAATCAATCACAAAAAGAAAGGCCTTATATATTACCAAAATACATATAGAAGCACTTTTTGTAACAGCAATAAACTGGAAACATAGTAGATGCTTATTGACTGGGAAAATCACATATGCAATGACTACGGAATATGGAAAGAACAAGAATAATAGAATAACTGAAGTTAACATTATGAAATTATAATGACCACACTTGGTCCCAAAGAATAGATATAAGAAAAGGTTCCTCTTTTCTTTGCGGAAGTGTTGGCTAAAGATAGGGGAACACTGCAATAATATCAGACTTTTTCTATACTATTGCCTTTGCTAAACTGTTTTTCTCTTTTATAAATTTTTATTATGAGATAACTGTTTGGTGGAAAGTGAGAATAGAAATATTGGAAAATGCAGGTTATACAAGAACAAAAAAAAATGTTAATAATTTTTTTCTTTGGTGGAGGAAGTTTCCATGCCAAGAATTCTCCATGCTGATGAAATCAGAGTTCATCCTGAAAGCACGTCCCAAACAGGTAAACATGTGCCTAAACAGGGTAACGTGGAAGGGCAATAACTCCACAAGCATCCAGAAAACACAAAATCATTTTGTGATCAGCTTTGACTTTTTCAGTGACTCTTCCTCGGACTCTTGTAAATTAAACTAAGTAAATTTACAGGTGAGTTGCTTCTCTACCACCCATTAAATTTGTGCAGGCATTTGACCCAGATTTTTGTCCTTGGTCTCCCTATCTGTTCCTGACATAAAGTTCCTACCTTAGTCCTCAAGTTCTAGACCAAATGTAATCATTTGTGCCAGCCCTACCATGGTTTTTACCTAGGTTTTGCCTTGGTTTTACCATTCTGAAAGGATAAGTGGCCAGAACAACCTTCACCAGGAGGGACAGTGATATACACCTACCATTCTATCTGATCCTGACTGATCTACAGTCAAGGCCACCCACCACTAAAGCATGCTAGCTGAATCCTGCCTCAGGATTGGGTTAGGGTGAATCCCATGATTCTTGACTCTACCTGGAACTGGTAACTGTCCCTGCTGTGACATTTTGTTTCCCCAGAATAGGCTATTATAGATTATCAGAACAGCCTGTCGATGTTATCCCCACCACCACTATCCTCCAAGGCAGCTCAAAAAACCTCAAAGTAGAACCTGAAGGAATATAGCTGTGGACTAAAACATTCTAACTTTTCAAACGGATGAGGATTCATGGGTATTTCATCAGCTATAAACACGTTTAACCCCACTCCATCTACACTGGAAAAGTAAAGTATATTTGCATATCACCTGTTTATACATTTCTGAGATGCATGTTCAGAAAATTGGCAGGAGAGTTTCTGGCAAATCAATGAATTCAATCAATCTTTCATTGTGAGGTACTGAGGTTAAAAAGATGAAAGGGTTTGAATTTCTGACCCGATGGAAAAATACAGCACTCTCCACTGTCCTAACTCTACTAGAGTGATATAACACGCACAATATACACAAAGTACATACATTTGAGGAAGGAAGCATTCATACCTGGGGGGAATTTGGAAAGGCCTTTTGAAGGAGATGGCACCTGAACTGAACCTTGACAGGATCAAGGAGTTCTAAGAAACTAAAGTGAGGAGGGAAAGCATGGCAGACATCTGGATAGCTTGTGCACAGTGACACGGAGGCAAGAGAGAGACAGACATTACAGGTGAGGATAACAAAAAGTTCAGAAGTTTAGAAAGATCAGAAGAAAATTGCCCCTTATTGGTTAAAATGCAGCAGTGCAAGTAATGCTTCTGTCTTTCTAAAATGAAAAACAGGCAGGAAATGCCCCATGTCTGGGCCCTAGGATTTGGCTCAGAAAATGGAAATTAACTTGGAGTAAGCAGTAGCATGCAAAATGCCAATGAATTACCTTGCCTGACATCAGGTCTTTAGGATCTAAGGTAAAATCTCTCCTCTTTGAAGCATTTCAAAGCTGATCCTCAATTTTAATGGCTTTTGTTGTAGCAATGAAACCATTAATATCTTCCTCCCTGCTACAAGCAATCGTGTCCAATGATTATCATTAACAGAGCACACACTGTTTAAAGCAGAAGAAAGGGAAGCTAAACTTACTTCGGAAATTCAGCCAATCGAAGATTCCTATTCAGGCTGAGGAGGGCATCCATGTCTTCTTTTGTGAGTTCAAAATCAAACACCTAGAACCATATGATATCAAAAAATTTATTGCTGAAAAAAGACCGTAGACATAGTAAGCACGGTATAGTGGACAGACTTGAAGTTAGGAAGCCCAGGTTGGAATCTTACTTCAAACACTAGCTGTGTAACCTTAGGCAAGTCGTTCTGTGAGCCTTAGTATCTCATCTATTAATGGGGAAAATAATAGTTATCTTGCCACTGGACTTCTATGACTCTGGAAGCAAAAGTGAAGCTGATGACTTTGGGCCACTCTGCCTCACTTAAATCTAATTCATGCTTAAGGTAGGACATCACCCTTGATGTTAAATGATCCTCTTCAAATGAATGACAGTACATTCCTCAAAGACTTGTTATAAAGATACAATGAAATCATGGATATAAAGGATTTTGGACAACATAAAGTATTAAAGCAATTATTATCATCATTAAAATCACCACCACCACATGGTCCAGACTCCTCATTTTGAAAAATGAGGTGACGAGGGACAGCTAGGTGGCACAGTGAATAGAGCTCCGGCCTTGGAGTCAGGAGGACCTGAGCTCAAATCCAGCCTCAGACACTTAACATTTACTAGCTTAGTAGCTGTGTGACCCTGAGCAAGTCACTTAACCCTGATCGCCTCACCAAAAAAAAAAAAGGCAAAAAAAAATGAGGTGAGGCGTAGAGAGATTAAGTGACAAAGGTAAGTAAGGTGGTAAGCATCAAAGCTAAGACTTGAACCCAATTCTTTTGACTCCAAATCTGGGGCTCTTTGACTACACTACAAATTGCTAAAAGAGGATTTAAAGCCAGAAAATGGAAACTGGTCACAAATGTTTATGAGGTTAGAGTGTAATGAATACAAACTAATGATAACAGTTTAAAGTAAAATAATCCAGAAAACTAGTCCATCCCAATCTGACGACTCCTCTCAGAACCAGCTCCAAAATATTATATATCTAAATACTTAGAAACTTACTTGAATCCTGTTCTATTGCCTTGTAAACTTTTATGGGGAGGGGGGGGAAACACTATCTGCTTTTAGTTGTAGCAGTTTGTGACAACTTTAGGACAAGAATGTGAGTTCTGACCTGACCTGACCTGACCCAATCTAACATTCTATTTTATACAGGATAGAAAAATATTCCACTGCAAAGAATGAGCTTGCATTTTTGCCTTTCACAACCCATGTTACATTGATGGCTGATATCCAAACACTGATCACAAGTAGGGAGTAGTTTCCTCAAAGTCACCATTATATAAACAGTGTCCTAAGAGAATTTTAACATAGCTGCTATTTTGCCTGAGACAGTAACCGGCTGGAGCTTGCAGAATTTAGCAGAGATGTGAAACTTTGGCTCAGCTCAGTGATAAAAGAGTTTCTGTCTCAGCTTTAGTATACCTATTTCATTAAGCTCAGACATCAATTACAGCTTTGACTCTATCTGGTCAGTTCCTGCTCTGTTTTCACAATTCCAGCTTGAGACAGTAACTTTAGCTCCAGTATTTGCTGATCAGTTTGTTAATTTACCTGATGTATATCTTCCCCTTCTTCTATCTAGTCTTTGATGTATACATTTTTACCTTCCCTCTATAAAATTCCTACTATGTCCATCCTGATTTGTCCTATGTAACATTTACAGAAACATTACTCATTTCTAAATTGGTTTTTGTGTAATATGAGACTCTGCTCTGAGCATATAATAAACCAATTATTAAAATGTCTCTGCATGCTGACAAATATGATTGACAGCAGTACTTATCAATAAGTCCCTGGATATTTTTATATCCCCAGTATTTGGGCACAATTTCCCAATCTGAAGACATCAAAAATGCAAATAAAAGTCTACAAAGTGCAGGCTGAGAAATTCTGTCTCCAGGACTTGGGGTCTCAGCCAGTGTCACAAAGTTCCCAGGCTGCACTCTGTCTGTTGGAGAGCTTACAGAGTATCCAAACTACTCTAAAAACTGGAATATTTTACAATGATCATGTTGCCTTATGAGTCCCTATAATGTTCTTTGAATTGGGAGAAGGAAATGATGGTGATAGGTTACTGGAAAGTGATAGATATGAGAAGAAAAAAAGCATCAATAACACATTTTTCAATGCCCAGAAGAAAATGGTAAACAGGGTGGCTTTGTTACTACCTTGTTAGATTTTATATACGTCTTTAAAAGTAAAATATGCACAAAGTTCAATTTCTTTTCCTATTGTTCAGTCATTTGGGGTTTTCTTGGCAAAGATGCTGGAGTGGTTTGCCATTTCCTCATCCAGCTCATTTTACAGATGAGAAAACTGAGGCAGGCAGGGTTAAGTGACTTGTCCAGGGTCACACAGCTACTAAGTGTCTGAGTCCAGATTTGAACTCAGGAAGATGAAGTCTTCTGACTCCAAGCCTGTCACCCTATCCACTGCACCACCTAGCTGCTTCCTTATACCTACCTCCCCCCCACCCCAATCTCTCTCTCTCTCAGCCTCTCTCTCTCTCTCATTTGTTGATGATTATTTTAAAAAAGAAAATTAAAAAGAGAAGGGAAAAGGGAACAGGTAAGGAAATAAGCATTTGTATATCACCTACTATGTGCCAGGCATAGTAATAAGCCCTTTGTAAATTTCATCATATGGTCTTTTCACTAGCTTTGATTTGGCCTAGAAGATGGGGTTGGCACCTCTGAGAAATTGTTAAACCCTGTTTATCTCCCTTTCTTGGGTGAAAGAGTTAGCAGCCTGGGGAAAAAAGAAGCTGCTCCCCCTCAAAAATCTCTCTCCCATTTTGGGAGTGGGGGGTGGGGGTGGGGAAGGGAAGGCATCCAGACCTATGCTTCCATTGATTTGGGGAGCTCCTGGACAGGAAGTTCTACCCATGCTGGTCAGCCAGCTGTTCTGCAGTTTATAGTCTTAGAGCTTCTGAGGTTAAATGACTTGCCCATGGTCACAGGCACACATGCAGTATGTCTCAAAGGAAGTGAACCCAGGGCTTTCTGACAACAATTTGGCTCTCTAGGCACTTAAGCCTATATACAGTCTATCAATTAGATATTCATCTGGGTTAAGAAATTCTTTTTTCTATATCCAATAACTCATTGACCCTGTTAAACTTGTCAATTGTTCACACTCTTACTTTAACCATACAGTGTCTCAATCCCTAATACCTAGTTACTAAACAGTATTGCCACCCAGAAAGAGAGTTTTGAATGGAGGATAAGAGGGAGTAATTTAATACTGTAGGCCTGAAAAGCTGGGAGGGATTTTGAATACATTATTCAAGGGAGGTATGAATGTGCCAGAAACAAAGGTCTGAGACCAAAGAAAGGGCAGCAACAACTCAGTGAAGACAATGCCAAACCCTGGCCTAAGGGGGCAAACTCACAGGTTTGACTAGAGCTACCCAATGCTTTACAGTATCTAACGAATATCTGCAGCTTCCCTCATATAACCAACTCTACCTGACTTGGCTACCCCAGCACTCAGACCATTTCTCCTTTTTCTCTTGCATCTTGGCTTTGGTCACCCCAAATTTCTTATAATGTAACAAAGACCCCATTCACAGGATCACAGACTGAGTTGGAAGAGATTTGAGAGATCTACTTCAAACCTTTTATTTTTACAGGTGAAGAATCTGGCCTGGAGGAGTGAAGTGACTTATTTAGGGTAATAGAGGCAGTAAGTAGCAGAGCCAGGATTTGAACCCAGCTGTTCTGACTACAAATCTGTCCTGTCCACTCCATCCTCCTGTCTCTAGTTCCCTGATCCTGAAGAAATCTAAGGAGATTGCAACTCCCTTTGCACCTTTTGACCTGATGACTCGTGAATTTTTGGCGCAGTCATCAACAAGCCAGCAATACTTACCTGGAAGTTCTCTTTTATTCGACTTGGTGTGACAGACTTAGGGATTACTGCCACATTTCTCTGTATATGAAATCGGATCAAAACCTATGGGAAAAGACCCACATATAGAGATTGTGTGAGTCAGTTAATAACAGTTTTTTCCCAATAAAGAGTATAATCCTGCTTACTTTAATACCTCCCCACTCCCAAAATAATCATTCTAATAGGTAGTTTTTATTATATTATCACCAAAATCTGAAATTAATCAACCAAATTCTCCCACCATGTTATATATGGAAGGTTAGTGAGCCTCAGCTCTCTAGTAATTATGACAGTAGAACAAAATAAATTTCAATAATAAATTCTGCCTTCCAATACACTCTTGTTTATGATATTAAATGCTATAAGGGTTTAATTATTAAATACTATAGGAATTAGTTTGCTGGGGAATGCTACAAATATCTCTGTTTTTATTCCAGTTTTTAGGGAAGGGGTTAAACAAGAAAGTGTTCATGGAACTGGCAACACTATAGATTTTGTGAATCATTGAACATCTTTGTGGGCCATCATCATCATCATTATCATCACCATCGCTACAATCAAGCTTGTTTAATACCTTCCTCATCTCCTGAGGAAATGAATACTCATCTTTTGGAGAAGTTAATATCTAGCAGCAGGAACTTGTGGTGTGTAGAGAAGACCTAGGATAACTGACTGCAGGGGGTAGGTTATTGCATGGTTCTCTCTTCTTAAGGCTGGTTTCAGGCTCAGGGCCAAAGAGTCTTTCAAGCTCTCTCTACATGACCTGGCTCCAAACTGCCTTTCTAACTTCATCTCATACTACTTACCGTCTTCCACATACTTTATTCTCTAGTCAAATTTGACTGGTTACCAACACATGAAAACATCTCATGCTTTCCCTCCTTTGTGCTTTTATTCACGTAATTCCCTACTCCTAGAAAGCCACTATTGTAAATATGATTCACTCTTCAAGATATAGCACAAGTAGCCCCATTTGGATCATTCGGGGAAGGGTACAGAGGGCAATCTATGGAAGAAAGGACTCTGTATCTGTGAGCCCTTTTGGCAACATCTAAGGCAGGGCTAAATGAACCATTCTATTTTGTAGTATTTAATATCATAAAATATCAGGTCCCCAGAAGGGTGAAAGATATTTCTCCTCTCACTATACCAGCTCCCTTTACAACAATCCTGTGTTACCTGTGAGGAGGGCAAATGGCACCTGGCCACTCAGAGTGGACTACAGGGAGCTGAACAAAGTCATCATGCCTGTCCCTACAGCTACTCCTGATTTTGTCAGTGCAGCAGAAAGCTGAATGGTATGGGGCTGTCAATCTTGCCAATGCTTTTTTCTCTATTCCTGTGGCTGAGATTAGTCAGGAACCATTTTGTTTTCACCTAGGAAGGAGTCTAATATACCTTTATTGTTCTCTTCAAGGGCTACCTGAACTTTCCTTCATATTATTATTCACACATTATGCTTGACAGAGACCTGAAAGATGACTCTCTTCCTATAGTGTGCACTAATTAGTGTACACTAATGTACACCACTACATTATTTGCACAATGTTAATGGGGCCAAATGAGGCCTAGATCAGATGGTGGCCTATATATGAGGAACAAAGATAAGAATCAACTTTAAGGAAACCCAAGGTCCACTCAGTCAAGTTTTGAGGAACACAGTGGGTAAGGAAAACCCAGAGGATTCCAGGCACTATTCAGAATAAGTCATTACCCTGGCTTCCCCACAGTCTAAGAAGGAAGCCCAGAGAACCCATATTTCCCTCCTGGTTTTCCTGATGACTCCCATTTACTGATTCATCTGCAAGTATATACCTCTTTCAAATGGGATCCATAATAACCCTGAAATACCTAAAGTAGCCTGTCCAATAGTCTCTGTCCTTGGGCTCTTAGGACCTTGAAAAGCCCATAACTCTAAAGACTTGCCATCATTCACTACATGGATGAGACTAAGACTTGAGACATGGTCTTTCAGAAGGGGGAATTCTGGCTTTTATTCTCCTCCACGTTTTTTTTAATTTTCCCCTTTTTCCCTTAGTAATGCCTATGCTAAAAGGACTATCTAGTAAAAGCTCTATAAGAATTTAAATGATAGAAGGTCCTCTGGAAGATCCTTAAAACCTTGCAACTAATGGGTAGTATGTGATAGGCAGTATGTGATATTTCCCTGATACAACTTCTTTCTATTTATTGCTTTTTTTTTTGTTTTTTTGTTTTTTGCTTTTAGGCAATTGGGGTTAAGTGACTTGCCCAGGGTCACACAGCTAGTAAGTGTCAAGTATTTGGTCTGAGGCCGGATTTGAACTCAGGTCCTCCTGACTTCAGGGCCGGTGCTCTATCTACTGTGCCGCCTAGCTGCCCCAACTTCTTTCCATTTACAACATGGGAAGGTTTTACCTAAAAGAAAACAAAGCTACCTCCAGGGCTTAACTAGTTTCACCTTCCTTAATGTAGCTTCCTTTCTCTTCCTTCAGTCAACATTGGGCAGGCCAGGACAAAGCTGACCCAGGAGCTGATTGGCCCCAGCTTCCTGATCATGTGCAGGAATAAAAAGTCTCAGTCACATGGAGTCTAAGGTTCTCAGATATGGTGGGTATCTAAGACTACACAAGTCACTCTGATCACCTGTCAATCACACACATTTCCAGTAAGGAGACAAGGGGAACCTTGTCCAGAGCAGTTATGTATCACCATATATTTGTCGCATATTCTTGATGTTTTAGGACAAAGTAAACTTCCTTTCATAAATGTTCAGTAACTCATGAGTTACTTTGATCCCAACTGAACCTGAACTAAGAAAGTGCTGATATTGGAGCTATACCTCCAACACATGTACATGTCTTATTTCTTCTAACATACTCTAAGTTCCCTGAAAGCAGAGAGGGACTGGGTCTTATTTATCTTTGGCTCTCCCATAGAGTCTAGTAGAATGCATTTTACATGGAAGGCGCCTTTGCTAAATTTGTTGAATATCATTTAGCAAATATGAGGGAACTTTCCATCCCCATACCTGAGCTTCAGATTTCTTGTATTTTTCGGCAATCTTCTTAATAATGGGTTCACTGAAGGCATCACTAGAGAGAGGCAACAGAATTAAACAGAAGACTGAACGACCAGCCCACCGCTGCTTTCCCCTCATCACCATTCTTCTGGACTCCTGCAGTAGCAGACCTTTCCATAGGCTTCCCTTCTCCCATCTATCCAAATGGCTGCCAACTCAGTTTTATTAAAACAAGGGCCCGACATTGTCACAAAAAGTTTCAGAGGCCATCTCAGGATATAAACTCCTTGTGTCTTATATTTAAAGCCTTCATAATCTGCTTCCTGCCTTTCTAAGCTTACTGTTCATCACCCTACTCCACACACTCTACATTCTCACCACAATGACCTACTAATCCTATGTACACAATAGCCTGTCTCCCACCTTTTTGTTTTTGTAGAGATTATCCTCCAAATCTGGTCTGTACTCTTTACCTCCACCCTGCATAATCCTTAGCTCCTTTCAAAGCTCAGCTCATGTGTCACCTGCCACACAAGTCCACTCTTGAGCTCCCTGATTTCTAGTGCCCCACCCCTGTGGAAATTACTTCACATATAATTTGTATTTTCTCATGTGTGTACATGTTATTTCCCTCAACAGACTGCAAGCTCCGTGACAGCAGAAATGAACAAAGAAGATTTACCTCGAGCCCCCAAGCGGACGATAGGCTGTCACAGAAATACCTTTCGAATGACAATAGTTGATCAGCTTCTCCTGAGTGAGGAACGGGTGGCTCTCTACCTAGAATCAGATTCACAACTCATGTCAAAAAGAAGTCACAAAGACAATATTCTTGGTTGGGTCTGATTATTTCAAAGAATTATATCTTACTTTTATTCATACCTTTTGTTTTTAACATTGTATTTATTTCGGAAAATATACCTCCCCCCAATCCCTTGCAAAAGGTTTCAAAAGAAAGTGGGAAAAAAAGTGGTTAAAAAAAACTAACCAATGTATTGACTGTGTCTGATAGTAAATATAATATGTCACACCCTTAATCTCACAATTACTTCTGCAGTAAAAAGAGGCAGGTCCATCTTCTCACCTCTTCTTTGAGACCAAACTTTGTCATAATAATTAAAGAGTATCAAGTTTAATTTTTTTTCTTTCTGTTTACATTGTTGCAATTCTATATATCATTTTCTTGGTTCTACTTACTTCATTCTGTATCAGTACATGTCTTACAAATATCTCCCAATTTGTTATATTTATCATTTCTTATAGTGTAACATTCTTTTTTTTTTTTTTGGTGAGGCAATTGGATTAAGTGACTTGCCCAGGGTCACACAGCTAGTAAGTATCAAGTGTCTGGTCTGAGACCACATCTGAACTCAGATCCTCCTGACTCCAAGACCGGAGCTCTATCCGCTGCGCCACCTAGCTGCCCCATAATGTAATCTTCTTACAGTGAAATAATACTCCATTACATTCATGCATCAGATTTGTTTAGCCATTCCCCCAATTAATGCTCATCTGCTATAGTCTCAACTTCTTTGATAACACGTAAAGTGCTACTATGAATACTTTAGTGTATACTGAACCCATTCTGCCATCTGCTTGGTATAGATGCCTAGTGACGGGATCTCTGGACATTTTTACCACCACCACCCCTTTTTTTTTAGCATAATTCCAAATTACTTTCCAGAAAGGTTGTACCAATTCACAACTCCACTAACAGTATATTGGTTTGCCTTTCTTTCTGAAGTTTTCTCTAGCATTGCCTGTTTTTACCTTTTGATGCTGCTGCTAGGTTAGCTAGGATTCTGGACGTACCCAAGGATACAATCAGTCAGGCTCTGATCCCTGGAGCCTGACAACATGGGACCAGCACAAACCATCTTCTACCTTCTATCTAGGTTTCCAGACTTGCCCAAAGGCCTAATAGAGCCATACTCTGCTTTAAGCATCATGAGACTAGGCAGGACAAACCATTTCCAGCCTCCTCAATAAATTTCCAAATAGAACACATCACCTGCCACCTTCTCACTTGCTGTCCTACAAATTGAGGGCCATAACGCCACCAAGATTACTACAAATTATACTTCCTGGCTGAAAAAACACTACTTCATTCTTATGACTACCTCAAAGTGGGCTTCCAGGCACCTCTGTGGACAGAGCGACAGCAGGCCTAGCAGTTGAGAACTGTGCCACAACCTTGCAGGATCAACCTTGAATCTTCTTGCCTTTATCAGCATACCTCACTATTTCTCTGCCTGGTTGTTGTTCAGTTGGTTTCAATCATGTCTGACTCTTTCTGACCCCATTCAGGGTTTTTCTTGGCAAGGTTTACTCTGCCTCAACTCATTCGCAAATGGCTGAGGCTGAACTCCTGACTACCAAAAAACAAATCCTCCTCCATGGCTCTAGCTGTCTTCTCCCTCTTTCCTATTAACCATAATCCAGCCCCCTACAAAATCTGACTCCAGATTCACCATCACCTTCCATTGTAGACTCCAAAATGCCTACTGCCAAATTGACAAACTTCTCATCTCATATCACTTCCTTTCTACTTCTCTCTTATGACACTCACTGAACCCGGCTCCTTCCTGATGAAACTGCATCTCTGGCCAACCTTTCCAGCACCTGGCTGCATTTTGTTTCATATTCCATCATTGTCATGGTAGAAGGAGTCAGAACATTGCTTGTTCCCCATAGCCACTTCCACTCTTCCCCTATAACTCTCCCTCAGAAACCACTACTTTGAAGTTTGTGCAACTCAAATTTATGACCAGTTCTGACTGCTAGCACCGGTACCTGACTGCTAGTATCTACCAGCAACCAGGACAATTTCCCTCCTTTCTCAATGTGTTTAGTGCCTGGCTCCCAGTCTTCCTTGCTACCTCAATTCCTGCCTTCATTCCAGGGGACTTTAAGAAAATATTGATGTTCCTTTAAATAACCTAACTTCCCAGGTCTTCAATCTAGTCAACTGCCATGACCTACTCCTCCACTCTACCTCAACTACACATACAGAGGGATGGTCATACCCAGTGTTCTACTTCCATGTTAAAGAACTCTGAATTTAAAAAAAAAAAAAAAGAACTCTGAATTTCCTTTATCAGGTCATAACCTTTTCTCTTTCTGTCTTCCCTATGCCTTATTCCTAAAACTATTCATCCTCACCATAATTTTTAATCCTTCCATCCCTCAGGACCATTCCAAGCCATCATTCCTGCTCTAGCCACACTTCCTCTCCTTCCCAATCTTGACCCATTGTTGACGCAGTTATTCTTGAATCCCTTGCCCCTTGTCCTATTTCCAATCATATCTTGTAAAACATTCACCCTGTATACTCTCATCTTCTACCTCTTTCAGTTTTTCTCACACACTATTGAATGAAACCGAAGGAAATCAATTTGTAGGCTGAGTCCACTATAAATCTGTGCTAGCTAATCTACTTGGATCTCACTGCAGCAAAACCACCCCATTCCTCTTCTTTAATTGATTCCCTATCTCTGTTACCACTCTAGTCTCCAATGATTGACTAGTCTATGGACTAGTTTAGACTCATCTAAGGAGGCCTGTGACCAATCTCTCTACATATATCCTTTATTTCATCCCCTCCTATCTTCTCCAGCTTACCCAACACACTCATCCCCTCTCTAATCATCAGTCTTTCCCTATCTACTGGTTCCTGCCCGAATGCCTCTCTATTCATTAAAAAAAAAAACAACTCATTGCATCTTACCATGCCTGTTCACTATTGTCCTATAATTCATCTTCTCTCAGCAAAATTGCTTGAAAAAGTCATTGATAATCAATACTTGCACGTTGTTTCACCCTCTGTAGTCTGGCTTCTGACTTCATCATTCAACTGAAACTTCTCTCTCCTAAGTTACCAATGATCTATTAATTGCTAAATCCAACAGTGTCTTCTCAGTCCTCATCCTTCTTGATTCCTCTGCAATCTTTGCCACTGTGCATCACTCTCCTCTCCTGGATTCATTTCTCCACTCATTGTCTTCAGGACACTGCTCTCTCCTGGTTCTCTTCCTATCTGTCTGACTATGCCTTCTCAGTCTCTTCTGGATTTTCATCCATGCTACACCCACTAACTGTGCCTTCGCCCAACCACCCACCCACCCCAGGCCTTGTTCTTTTTTTTTCTCTAATTTTTTTACATGGTGACTTTACCAGCTCCCATGGGTTCAATTATTATTTCTATGCAGATGGTATCTAGATCTATTTTTTCAGCCCTAGTCTCTCTCCTGAACTATAATTCCACATTAACGATTACCTATTGGACTTCTGAATGGAATATCCAAGAGGTATCTCAAACTCAATATGTCTAAAACAAAAGACCCTCCATCCCTCTTCTGAACTTTTTCCATTCTTCAAGTCACCCAGGTTAGCAACTTCAGTATCATCCTCAACTCTCATTTTCCCTTACCTTTCACATATGTCATGTAAATTTAGGGCAGAGTTTGGGTGGATGGCATGTAGCAACACTAGGATTAATAACCACTAGGTTTATTAACACCCATGGCCAAGCCCAGCATGACAGTGTATGAAGAGATGAGTAGGAATTTAGACAGGGATAGAATTTTATGCAGCCTTCTTCATGCACTATTCCATGGGCTATGGTGGTCTCATAGAAATATGGATTGCAGCTCACAACCAAACAACCAGAGAATTTCTGTTGCGTGGCAATATGATGCCCCAGGCTGTATATAGCAAGAGGAAGTCTCAGCTGACTTCAGGTAAGCTAACCTTGAAAACAGCTACTTGTCTACCTGCCTGTTAGTGTAACCAACACCTTATCATGGGCAGCTAGAGAAGGTTACTTCTGGTGGAAGATTAGAACTAAAAAGACATTTTCATCTATTGGCAAATTCTCTAACTCTTTTACAAACTCACCTGGTTGTTTGTTGGCTTGTATCGTAAATCAGGCTTGTTCAAAAGTCTCTCAATTTGTTTGTGATTGAAATTGGAAACCCCTATAGCTTTCACCAGTCCCTCACTCAACAGATCCTCCATGGCCTACAGGAAAACAGAGTACATTTAGCATAGAGAAGGAAGGAAAGAAGGGAAGAAGGGAGGGAGGATTAATTAAGTGTTTACTATGTATCAAGCACTATACCAAGCACTTTACAAATATTATCTCATTTGATCCCCATATCAACTCCAGGAAGTAGATGCTAAATCCATAACCTTATGTAGTTGCCTCTGTGCCCCATTGTCCCTCTCAGCAACAGCACTCACTAGAGCAGACCTCTAAAATCCACGCTTCTCTGGGAAGAGTAGTCAATGCACTGATTTTGGACAATTTTGCCACGGGGCAGAGCTCTATAACCTACTATATATCATGACCCCTTCCTATGCTTCATATCTATCCACCCCAGACATCTTGCCATCTGTGCTGCTGTAGGGCCATACTTCTCTTCCCACTCCTCACTCCCTCCTGAGTTCAAGACCTAGATCTTCCATTGTGTGGCACTACCCATCTGTACATAAAGGGCTTAAATTATACCGTTATTAAGATTCTTTGGAGATATAATGTTTTGTAAGTCTACAGAAAAGGCTTGGCATATTGTGTAAAGCAGCCATTCTCTAATTGTGGCACACAGACAATTAGGAGTTCTCAAGACCTTTCTTAGGAGAGCCAAGAAGTCAAAACTATTTTCAAAAAAATACTAAGATGTTATTTGTCATTTAAAGTATTCCTCACATTTCCAACTACATACTTTTG